TTCTAATTCCAATTTCCATGATGTTATTAATATTATACAAAAAGGTTCGTCATAGCTTTTACTTTATCCTCGAGCTATTGATAACCGAGCCAATTTTATCATTTTAATAATTTTCTCAGCTCTGATTACCTGTCATGAAATCCTAATAATAACAATTATCGTTCTCAAGTAGTTGATATGAATTAAATCACCGTCTAAATGAAGTGATCTTGTCATTTTGCAATCGAAAAGTTCAATTGACTTTCAAAGATTGAACTTTAAATTGCTTCGGGTGATTTTCATCTTGTTCCATAGTCAAAGTTTACCCACTCCTGTCAACTCCTTGAGAGTGATAACATTATCATCATCCTTCTGAATGTATCATTACTCATGATACATGATAAAATTTGATACGGAAAATAAGGAGGAGAAAAGTCAAAATTCAGTTGAGGAGATTACTCTTAGTTTCTTCTAGTCCTTCACCCATTTGATTGTTAAACCACAAAATGGCTTCAGCTACTTAGCCAAATAGTAAACATTTTAAAACCACCATGTATATAAGGTAAGAATAAGACAATTTTGATTTGAGAATTTGAAAACTTGGTGACAGGATAAAAATTCAATGAAATCATGAAGACAAACATTGAAAATCGGTTTCAATGTTGATTCAATAATATTTCGGGAGACATTCAGTTAATATTATCAATTGAATTCAAACTTGAACTTTTTTTCCAGTGACTTATTCAGAGGTTGAATCTGTAATTCAATAACTAGCACTCTGGATAAGTTGAACATGATGATGATGATGAAATTCATGATTACTGATAAAAAAATATCGAACTAATAAAATTCAATGATTCAAAAATTGTCAAAGCGCAAAACTGATTCTCATTTCAACTGAAATTCTGTAAAAAAAAAGTTCAAACTTCAGTTGGAAGTTTATTCAAACCAATGAACATAATTAAAACCAATTACGATGAAAGATGAAAACATTATTCCACCCTGTAGCCATGATGCTCATCATCAGAATTTCATCCGATAAACTCATGACTCCAGTTCATTGGAACATGATACAATTGTTCATTAACTATTATTATTTCCCTTAATCAATCTCATGAATGTTTCCATGAAAAATATCACCACCATTCCTGAAATAATTGGCTGAAATATCAAGCAATCAACTATTGAAAAGTTAACTGTCATCAATATAAAAATATTCCTATTGAAATTAGTATACAAAAATAAATTAACAAACTATTGCTAATCAAACCAGAATAATCAGTTAACTGAATCATTATCAATCACTAGTCTTTTTGTAGTAAAAGTTATCAACATGAAATCGTTGTAACAATTTAAACTTAATTGTTAAACATTGGTTGTCATTATTATTATTATTTAAAAAATTAGACACCATGAGAAATTAGATTAACAATCAATCATGTTGATCAACGGGAACTGTTCAAAATTCATTAATCATGATTAAAGAGGAAAAGTATCATTAGTAATCAAATTCAGAGTGATTATTATCTTCAGAGTGATAGTCATAATCAGTAAATGAACTTTTCCCAGCCACACTGAACTTTGGCTCAGTTATTATTACCATGAAACTCACACCTTGACCATCAACATGATTCGATTTTAAGGTTAATTAGTTTCCATAGCACAATTTAACCTTCCATTCAATTAGGAGGTCGATAATCAATTGATTACCATTTAATAAATAACATTATTATTATTTACATTCAATGGTGTTTCCGGTTAATTGAATTGAGGTATTCACTTTTCATTACCCTGAATGAGATGAGGATGAAAATTACATTTTTACTGGAAAGTTAATCACAATTGAAAAAACTAATTGTCAACTAATTCAAGTGTAATGAATTTAACTTTATCATCACATCTTCATCCTTGGCTGTCGTTTCAGTTAAATAATATTCATCATCATCAGTGATGATAATGATGAATACAGAATCGATTTATCATTTCCATGTATTATTATCGTTATCATGGTGAAAAGAAGGGAAGAAAAAAAATGAATAGAAAAAAAAAGTTTGTCATATGTATTCAAAAACGATTTTCTCCCTTTCATCCACCTCATCTTCCTATTTCTTATCTCTCTCTCTCATCATGGAATCTCTTCCTTTTCCTCTTTCTATCTCTCTTTACCCTGAAAACTGTTTCAATTGAACAGAAGTTGACACACCAAAGAAACGATATTTCATTCTGATATTTTATTCTGTACATAAAAATTTGTGTTCAGTTGACTAAGAGATGATATTGTTCACCATGTTTGCATCTTTATCATCAGCATTTACATGTGAATATATTGGAGGAAGAAAATATTAAAATTCAGATTATTCTGTCGTCCATTTTTATAGTAACCAATTTCAAAAATTCAATTACTTTTTTGCAATATAATAACTTCTTGATTAAAGTTTATCATGTTTCACCATGACAGACTTAAACTGATGAAAAAATGAGAGTTATGATGATAAGGAGATGATAATTTTCTCTCTCTCTCTCTCTCTACTACTTAGTAAGTTAACAAATTATCTGATAAAATGATAACATCGAAAAAAGTAAAAAAATAATAATGATAATTGGATGAATATCGTGAAGAGATGGCAAAAAGTTCTGAAGATGATTCAGTTGATTGCGATGATGAATCAAATGATGACTCAAGTTGACATTGATGCATCATGTAATTCATATACAGAAATGCTTCAGGTTTCACCTTATTTCATGGTGATTTTATCATTGAACCTCTTTTTGCATTATTACCTTATGATTTCTCATCCCTTTAATGTATCTCCCTCTGCCTACTTTATCCAATTATCATCATCATCTTATCCATCTCCATCCTTAATGACCTTCTTACTTTTGTACATCATCTAAATGTCAACAATTTTATCCACAAAAGATGAAGATGAAGATATACCATAAGAAACACCTCATCTCCACCCACCACCACCATCATCATCATCATCATTATTTTCATCATGATAAGTGATGATGATTGAAAATTGATAACATTGATTCAGCTTATTGACACAATATCTTTTAAAGTATTAGTTGGTCTCAATGAAAAAACTAATAAGGAAAATTGTTTACCAAGTAACAACATTTTCCTTGGTTAACTTCAATATAATGTATCGGTAACATTATCATGAAACCATTGATGATGATAATCAACGGATTGAGCTAATTTTGTTATGTCTGTGGGAATTTCACTTCCCAGTGATGTTTATATGTTAATTGATGAGACAGGAAACTAACATGATTCTCAATGAATCTTTTGGTTATTTTAAGCTGAAGATAACATTATAACCACTATCATGTTCTGTACAAGGATTGAAAAGAGTTGAAACCGTCTCCATGAAATTCAATATGAGAGGGTGAAACTCATGGTGGATTTCGAGTCACCTTCAGGATTGGAAAGGGAAAGTTTAAAGTTTCTAATCTTCTTGGCAAGAGTTTTCATCTCAAATTTGGAGACACAATAATAACCTTTATCATGAGGATATTTTTTGGTGAAAGTTTAGATATTCTGAACACAGATTGAAAGGGTTTTCTAATGGTGCTAATGATGATGGTGGAAAAATTTGATTGGCTTTTCAGACAAAAAAAAAGAGTTGAATTCAAGTAAAGAAAGATAATCATCATCATGATACGTTCCTGATTCTGATAATGATGATTTTCTCCACAATTCAGAGAAACATGGAAGAGGAAAAAATGCTCCTAATTGTAAACTTGATGAGTTAATAGGATGAAGAAAAAAAAATCATAGAGAGAATCATCTTTGTCTGTTTATGTCTCATCATTATCATCAACATGAATTGAATGAACAAAAAAAAGTTCAGTCTCATGTTGAAACTGAAAACAAACATGGAAACTTGTACTCACTGAGTGTGAACTAAAGTGTATTTAAGATACAAGGAGATCTGAATGAAAGATTCACATAAATGATAAAGTTCTGAACTCTCTATGGGTCATCAGGAGGTAAGAAAAAATTATCATGAGAAATTGTGACAAGAGAAAAAAAATACAGAGATTGAACAATAATCCATGATAAGAATCCATGAGTATTATTATCATGATGATGGTGATTATTGGAACTTTTTTTCCCTTCTCCATCAGTATTTAACTCACTGATTAATAATCGCTATCATCACCATCATGATTATTATTATCCAAGCATCGGTGGTGATAATCATTATCTTTGTCAAAAAAAAGCTCAGTTAACATGGTAAATCGTTCAGAACTTTTTTTTTCATCCTCATATTCATGTTTTCATTGTCATGACTATTTCATAATAAATTCATGGTCATTATCATTATCTCCAGGATAATTAACAAGAATCATTATTGATTATCTTCATAAAATCATGATGATGATAGCAAATTGAATATTATGATTATTGATATTTAATCAACACTAAACCAGAGGTAACGATTATCATGTTTATTATTGATTTTAAGGGTTGATTGTAAAATATTCAGCTAATTGTTAATCAATATTGATAATAGGAATTTTTTTCCCCTTCTCAATATAAAACTAATGATAATTAGAGGAGACTGATTATTTTTCATCAATGATCAGAACACTGGAAATATAAAAATGTGATGATCAGATTAACTCAAATCAACTGAATTAACTTTGAAAATTGTGAATTTCTTTATCGTTTGTAATCAGTAATTGTGATTGTAATTGTAATTGCAGTTTACTATCAATAGATTTATAAACAAATCTCTTGATTAATCTCTTGATGAAAATAATTGTCTAGATAACAGATTAAGTCTAAGTATTTCAATCAAGAAATGTTATTGTTAAGCTAATCACATTGTGATTATAATAATAATAATTCAAGATAATGATCACCATTGGGTTAAGATTAAGGTTTTTATGTGACCCTCTGTATCTGTCTATGGGTTTCTGTGTACTCATGTAACAATATCTATCGAGTGTATTATCATGATAATCAATGTTGATTGTGAAAAGATTAACATGTTAATTATTATTACCTGCAATCAGTCCCATCTTTACATGGATTAATCCCTTTTTGTGGATCACATTTAGGTCCATACTGACAGAATCGTCCAAAGAATCCAGGGAAACATGAACAATATTGAACTTTATTGTCTCTAGAGGCTAAACACTGACCATTAAATGAGCACTTGAAGACAGAACAATAATCTTGAATAATTTTATTTCCAACCAGTGTATTAAATGGGACGATTGTAAAAGTTATATTAAAACCATAGGCATTAAGAAACCAATCCATGTTACGAAGATAAATGTTACGATCATCGGTAATGGTCATTTCAAGGACGAGAACTGGTTTACCTGTTACCAAAGGAATCAAATCACCTTCAATATAACTGGTCAACAGATTTGACCCACCGGCATTAAGGGTTGAATTGATGTAAAATGCATACTCGGTGGCAGAAAACCCTTCCTTCAGGTAAAACTGTGTCCAGTAAAGTGTAATAACATTACCTATGGGAGCTCTTATTATCCAGGTACAATGGATAGGAACCGGAAATGGTCCAGGAAAATTTGGTGAGCTAATGAATCCTGTCTCGATTTCATCGTAGATAAATAAACATGAATTATAAGTTTGATGATAAGATGAATGGGAAACTGAATCACTTTGAACATTTTTCTCATTATCATCATGTTCATTAAATGATATTGATGAGTTGACATTCTGGATAAAAGGTGAACTTTTTATAACTGATTGAATTGATTTACTTGTTTCATGTTGTCTTCCACCACCAACACCAAGTATCTCAGGGTATTGGATTGATTGATAGCATGGATAAAGTGAGATAAAGTAAATGATTATAATGATAATAAAATAATATCGTTGTAAAATCCATTGACCTGGATAACAGATTAACTTCAAATTTCCCATCAACGATTACGATGTCAATTCGAGTATCGATTATGATTGTGAGCGTAGTCAAAACGTGCGAAACAATGATGAGTCCAATGTGAAGATTATCATGGAGATAAATTGGAACACATATTGAACATTTTCCTTTTTCTATTCTGTTCCAAAGTTTGAAACTTTTCTAAGAATTCGTAACTTTTTTCTCAATTTGTCTCGTTTAATAGAAACTGAAAAAAAATCTATTGTTACACTCGAGTGATTGATGTTGATGATTAGTTGATTAAATACTTTGGTGTGTATTCAGATTATCTCAGCACTGAACGTGGTGGATGCTCAAAGATTTACATACATTTACGTGCTAATACTTGGTAAGAAAATGGAGTAAGAAAAAAAAAAGAGTTGAATCAGCATGTGAAGCGAGTTGATATTTTTTTCGAATTTTTTTTCGTCTCGAACAAAGAATAAGAACTTTTTCTCTTGTTCGTCTCGAAGATGATGAAAGACACGATATTTATATGGAAGATGTAATATAATATAATCAAGAAAGATGGATGAGAGTCACTTGAGATAATGATGATGATAAGGATGAAGATGATGGAGATAATGAAGATGCTAGTATTAAAGATGACGAGATGATTATTAAAGTGGTGATGATGGTTGATAACATTTGATGATTTGATTCATTCAAATTGTTATACATTCTATTCATGGGTTTAACTTGATGAGGATGAAATTAGGACTCATGGAGATTATTATTATCATGTCCAGTAGTTTGTTGTTAACTTATGATGGACACAGTAAGTTGGTTGTTTGGTTGGTGAACACAGAATGAATTGGAATATGGAATAAAGAAAAGTCAAGATAAGTGGGAGTATGGAAAGAGAGATGATGATGAAGATGATGATGATGGAAAATTCCGAATCAGAAGTTCAGAATGAAATCCTCTTTCTTGTATGAGAACAAAAATTGTAGATCAACTTTTTCTTCTCACTTTTATTTCTGTGTTATTTTTTTTCTGTTAGAAGGCGATGATAAACATTGAATAATAATGAACAATCATGTTGATGTTACTATTGTTGTCTATTGAACAATCGTCTTGAAGTTTAGAGTGAAACTGAAAAAAAAAAGTTGAGAACTTACTGAAGAAAATGTTAAACGAGAAAGAGTGAGAGATGAAGATGAGGATGAGGATGATAATGATGATAAAAGTAGATTGTGCTGCCTCTGTAGATGTGATTATCTGTGGATCGTTTTCAGTTTAGTGGGAAAATCATCATGAAAGAAGAAAAGTTCAGTGGGAGTGAGTTGAGGGGTGGGGAGAATGATGAGATCTTAGAGCATCTCAAATAGCATTTCGAGTAATTTAGCTTAGTATTTTTACTTTCTTTTTTCTTTGTTCCATAGAAAACAGGGTGAAGATGAAAATGACTGAGTAGAACTCACAATTTCCAATGAACTTTTCTTATCTTTTATCTTTAGCTTTCTAGGAGCAAATTTGATACTTTGTAATAACTTTAAATGGGCGATGTCAATGTGAATATAAATCTCAATGTATTGGGAGAGAAGGAAAAAATTAAATATCATCATGAGTTCTGGGTGCTAATAGGAACAGGGTGAATTTTATCGTAATAATGTTGTTTCCAATCAGAGATGAGATTTGTTTTCGAAAATTTTTTTCCTCTTCTGTCAACAAAACGATTTGCACTGACCAATAGATTGACCATAATAGTAAATTCTGTTAATTCTGGTTCAATTTTTCCCTTTCACTTTCGCATGATTCAGAAAAAAAATAACAGAGAGACCGGAAATTCAGTTGATTAAGTTCATGAATCTGAAGGCAGATTCTAAATGTAACTTTATCAATGAATCATTTTTAATGAACATGAAATGAACATGAACCATCACTTTCATTGAGAATTTGAGTCTTCTAATTAATTCTGATCACGAAAAAATCACTGATTGTTAACAGCTCACTTTGATTGTAAGTCACCCAAATACAATTTAAAAACATGTTAATCAAACTAATCTTCATGGTAAACTGAACTTTAATTAACTTCTGAGGTGTTCAATCAGAGTATTAAATACAATTGAATGTACAGAAATATTGATAAACCTAATTTCATGATAAGTTGACTCTTATTTCATTGAGTTTCCTGAGATTAATCAGAATTGTTTTCCAAATAATCAGGTAATGAGATTATCAAGATGATAATTTAATTTTAATCAAAAAACAAACATTTTCATTGTATTTATATTGTTTCTGTTTTTTTTGTAAACATTGTCTGAAAATGAAAACAATTTCATTATAATGAACTTTTCTTCATGATGAAAAATGAATGAAAATTGTCATGAAAATGTTAAATATTAATTAAGCTGAAACTTTTTGATTATATCATAACTTTTACATGGTAAATTATGATTACAATGTTACAAAATTCAACAAAAGATTAAACCAACAATAATATATCAGGAATAGAGAGAGAAAATATTTAGACTGAATATTGAAATTCTGCCAGAATTAAATTCTATCTGAACCATTAGGGATAAGATATTTCATCATGGACCTACCATGAAAATCTGAATACATGGTACATGTACAAAGATTTGAATATTTCATGAGAAAATTAAAATTACTAACATCTCTTGTCATTGACTATCGGTCATCTTCATGAGGATCATGAGATATTCACACTTGAAGTGTTCACCTTGATTCAAATTGATAATTTCATCATCTTATTATTAATATTTAGATTCCAACTTTTGTTTTATGATCAATGTTTTCAGATGATATTACAGAGTATGAACATTGTTTCCCCATGCAAATAATTGCAATTGCACCTCCATTGTAAATGTGATCATATTTATCACTCTGAGCAATTGATGGTGTCATCATCATGTAAATCTTTTATCATGCAACTGATTCCTTGAGATTAATTCACTGGAAGAAATTTTTTTCTTGTAAAAGTTTCAAGACTTTTCATTTCAAGTTACCTGGTCAAATAGCTCATACACCCTGTAAGAAGAGATAAATTTTCATGAAGCATTAAACATTTTACATGGTGGTTGAGGATGAAAAAAGTTCTGAATGAACTTAATTCTTTGTGAACAATAAAAAGTTACCAAAGAAAAACTTTTGATAACTTTTAATCTCGAAAAGAATAAGGTTTTCACCTTGAAGATTCAAATCAAGCTACCAAATCAATTAACCAAAATGATCAAGTTAATTGTCGCCCATGAATTCAATCAACCATAATTAATCATAACAATCTATTAATTTGTCTTAACTGATTCAAGGAAATTCAGTTTTCATGTCCTTTAATTGTTGTTTATTTGTTTGTTTGTTTGTTTATTTATTTTTATTTATTTCTTATTGAAGGTTAGGAAATCACTTTGTCGAGTTAATAATTAAGTTAATCCAGTTTGATGACCTTTTAATTGTTGAGTAAATTCAATGATAGATCATCAGTGTTAATCATATATTTAAGAAGATAATTTAAATTTTCAAATTGATTAACTTGAATTTTTTTTTCTTAATAAATGAACAAATAACCAAATGATTAAATTGCTCCAGGCGATTAACTTGATTTGATTTAATGAAATTCTGGTATTTTCATTAACCATTGTAACTGGTAAAGGTAATGATTAGAAAAGCACAATTTTAATTTTTATCAACAATCAGGTTAATCATTATCATTATCTACTAATTTATTTTGTTTTTTCATCAACTAAATTGCAGCAATTTAAGTTAAACTTCAATATTGATTAACTGGGAAAAATTGATTGCTTCAATTGTGCAATATTTAAATCAGTTAATCACCGGTTTGATTAGGTTAAATTGTAACTACATTTTTCCCCTTAAATCATAATTGACGTAAATTGTTTACTTTAATTGTTTTTAATATTTCACAATAATTTGCATGTTAATTGTTAATCATCATAGCAAATGATTTAATTATTGACTAAACATTTCACTACGAGTTAATTAATTGCGATTCATAAATGAATCATCTGGAAATCACCATAAGAGTTGAATCAAAGTTAACTACTCAAGGAAAACAACCTTAATCATGATTAATTAAATTGATTTTTTTCGTATTTTCTTACGCAGAAAAAATAAATTAAGGTTTACAATTAAATCAAGGATATCGAAAATTAAATTGCTTCTAACAGTAAATATCTTAATTGTGAACAATTAATGCCCAAGAGTTTAATAAACCATATACAATGTTGTTATTGTCATTGATTATCAATCAACAATGAAAACAATGATAATTGAATTTAATAATTGAAATTAAGAGTGTAAATAAAAAAAACTGTCACCAATTTACATTTAGATTAGTTAGTAATTAACTAATCAAGGAGTCGAGTAATTTAAACAGGAATCATCCAGTTGACTGTGAAATAATTTACTCAATTTGTTTGTTTGTGACAATTAAGATGTTTGGTCAATTAAAGACAATTGGAAGGTTAATTGTTACAATTCAAATCAAACCAAGACATCGTTGAGTTCATTGGATGATAATTTTGAACTGTAACTGTTTATTTCAGTTTAAATTGTCTCAACTTCCGTTTCCTTATCTAAGGCAATCAAAAAAGATTAAGATTAAGATAGAAGATTATTAATCTTAACAAGATGATGATTAAGTGACAAGGATAACAGGTAAATGGAAGATAAATTTATCGAGAGAGAGAGAGAGAGAGAGATTTTCAAGGAAAATGATCTCACTCTTTATCTTCCAAGGGGAAATTTGCTTTCCCTATCATCATTAAGATCATCATCTCTTTAACCACAGGTAAATACAAAATCTATTGCTAATCAAGCAGCACAACACAATTAACTTTTCTATGGTAAATTTTCAATGATTTTTTAGTCCAAGCAATTAGTTGATTGCTAATTGCAAACTTTTTTGTTTTTCACGTTTCCAAATCTTACTCTCGCGACTCTCTTACAATTAACTTGTGATTTTCATCTTAATCAAATTGATTAAACATCATCATCCATCCTTACACACAACTAGTAAACCCTAATTGTGTCTCTATCATTAATTATTTAACTAATTACGTTCACCTTTACCTTATAAACTTTGTTTCCTTTTTCCTTCTTGTGCTTCATCCCAATTTTATTACTACAGAAAAACAAATTAACTATTTTCTTGATCGAAGAAAAAAAAAGTTCATTATCAGTTCGTATTAATAGTTGACAATTTATTTTAATTGTTATTGCAACAAATCAAACAAATTACACTCAATATGATTACCTTAATTGTTACATCTTTTGCTTATTGTATCAAGCATTTAATCAACATTTACCTTTATTCAGTTCTATTTATTATCGTTAATACCTGGATTGGACTCGATTTTGGCCTATCAAGGATTTATGTTCAATTACTCGATAAATTGTTCAAGGTAAGAAAAAGTGACAAAAGTAAAATCGATAGAAGGAGAGAGAATCCAAAAGTAGAAAAGAAAATTTTTTGTTTTCGAACAACCGAAAATTTGTTGGAACTTTTTCCCCCTCATCCCCACGATCATCATCATGTTATACATGACAAAACAATGGCTTCGATTCTGTTACTAGATCAGAATGAGGAAGAAAAAAACTCAGGGGTAGTAATATTATCATTCTGATAACATGAATTGTTGGGTTAGTGGTTTGGATGAAATTGTTTTCTTATCAACATTATATTGCTTTTTTATGGTCAGTTTATCACCAATGGTCAACAACATTTCATCATGAAATATTATTCGTGTGAATTTATCAGCATGATAACTATTTGTGACCTGAACTTGTGAGATTTAATGATTATTATTATTATTAGTATTTAATATCGAAACTGATTATTCAGAATATGGATTGTGAGTAAGTTCAGTTTCAAGAGATGAACTTATTCATCTCGATTGGGAGATAAAGTTAAGAGCTCGAAATAAATATGTATCTAAATGTTCAGGCTTTCGAATGTTTGAAAATTCTTAAGCTTCTTATACTGAGAATAGAATATTTTTCAGTTCAAGGGAAATAAATGTTCTCCATGAATTAATAAATGACTTGATTTAATATCCAGAACTTGAACTCGATTCAGTAATTGAATATTTAATATTCAAATGGATTGATATTCATCAGAGAAAAGATTAGAGATGAAAAAAAGTTCTTATTCAACGAAACTGTAGTAAACTTTTTCTTTGAAAAGTCAATCGGTTGAGTTTTTTTCTCGAACTTTGTTCATAATGAATTCGAACAAATCTCTATGAACTTTTCTCTACTCACTCTGATTAATACGAATCAGAACTTGATTTGCTTTATTAACATTATGTTCATGATATCACGTTACTCTTATCGTGGTCATGGTCATGATCATGAATAGAGATTGAAAATTATGAAATGATCGCAAGGATGTACCAATGGTACGAGAGTCGAAAAGCTTTTGATGGTGATGAAGAAAAAAGTTCTGAAAACTCTGAATATCTTGTTATTAGCTAAGATGAAAATTTTCTTTCTTTTTCACTCATTACCATCATGGTGTTGGAAAATATTATTCTCAACCGAGGGAAGATTAAATTTACAGGGGAACCAAAGTTGAAACTCTTTTGTTAATGCTTCGAGTTTCAGCCAATATTAAGACTGAAAACGAATGAGAAATTGAGATGAATACAACATGATGAAGATGAGAATAGTAACTGAATAGTGGAATAGAAAATGAGTAAGAAGAAAAAAAATAGAAGATATTTTTTGCTCGAATCAACTTGGAGTATAAACTATTGTATTCGTAATGTTTTGTATCTTAAATTGAAAAGGGAAGAAAAATATTCGAATCCAGAGAAAAAGAGATAAAAATGAATTTTCAGAGAATCTAAACAAAAAGCTAAACATTTACCATGTAAAAAGCAACAGTATTTGTCTCATGATCTTCATGGTGATTTCTTTTTCTTGTTAGGTTGAGTTTCAATCTCTCAACTTTTCTGAATAATTTTCAGTCTCTTTCCTTTTCATTTGATTCTAAATTTGATATTCACTTTTGCTACCAACAAAATAGATAAGCTTATTTCATGATGTCAACCCTATTATTATCACCATCATGATCTGAATGGTTTCAATGAACTTTTCTTGTTGGAAAAAGGCAAAAAATTAGCTCAAAATTGGAAGAGGAAAAAAAACTTTTCATGTCTATTGTTTTTTTCTGTCACTTGTTTCAACAAACTCTCAGTATCATGAGGTTCAGTTATAGAATGGGAATTGGGTGATGTATCTCACAGGGTATTCCTATCATCATGTTTCCATGAGCAAAAAAATTGGATTGAATTAACTTTCAATGGTGAGGAAAATTTCTGTATCTGAATGTTGTCGTTTTTTTCGTACTCTATCATCACCTTTATATCTCTCTCTTGTATCATGATTACCATGAGATAGTCGTGATGATGATGAGGGGAAAAGTTTCATCGATTCATCAAACTCACAATTGACGATTCAATTCTATTATGTAGCGAAAAATTTTCCTCACAACTTGAAATTCATCTCATGGAATTGAAACTTTTTCTCTATCATGAAGGTAGAAAAAAATTCCATTTGGGTTCGTAGAGAGAGAGAGAGAAAAAACAATAACAGAATCAGGATCAGGAAATGAATGCCCATTTGCAATGGAAACAGATTCCATTCACTATTCAGAATTTTATTCAGAGGAAATCAGAGCAATAATCATGAAAAAGAAAAACAAACAAACATATTGAATTACTTTGACTTCCATGAAAGAAGATGAACTTTTTTGCTTCTCCATATTCCACCAGGATCATCATGAACTTTAATCTATTGAAATTTCAATTGAAAGAGAAAATTTTATCCCAATTATTTACTCCCTTGGTGTGGGGTATTTTTGATCATCGATCATCTCAGTAATTAGAATGAACTTTATTTTCTGAAAAAAAATACTCGATAAATCACATTGGTACTAATTACGATTTTGATCTATCTTTTTTACTCTCAATTTTAGTTGATTGAAAAAAATGAGAAATTTTTTTTCCATCAAACGAAATCATCAGCTGAGTTGAAAGTAGGCAATGAAACTGAATCAAAATCAAAGATCAATGGTTACACCAAACAGGAAGTTGAGTCATTTTTCACTGCAAAATGTAAGTAATTAGCTAATTGTTATTGATCATCCACTAATTGTTGCATTGATCTTATTACAGCTCCGGACCATTGGAACCTTCTCACATCAACCTTGCGACCCAAAGGTCAAAATGAAGATCGTCAATTGACCTTTTTAGGTAAAGTTCTGTTCACATTTGGACTTTTTCTAAGGTTTGGCCTACTTTTCCCGATTCGATTGTTACTCTTAGCCTACACTCTTCTTCAAACGATCGTCGTAGTGGTCAATTTGGCCTACGTACTGCCCGCTAATAAGTTCCGTGACCTTTACTATAACTTTTGCTGGCGACTTACATTCCGTTTGTTTGCTCAAAACTTTGGCTGTTATTTTAATTACCATGGGACTCATAACTGTCATCAAGGTGAGACACACAGAATCAACAATCAGTAAATTGTTACAATCGTTTCGTTACTCATTCCCTTTAAGTCAAATTTTATTTGATATTTTGTCTGATCATCATCTCATTTACAATGAAATCGTTACTAATAGTAATTAGTGTTATGTTTATTATTCATTTGTAAATTTAATCATCAACAGATAGCAATTAATTAACTCATTAATTGGAAAACAAATTACATGATAATAAACAGTAAGTTTTGGTTTCTCGTGGATACAAATCAATGATTAACATATGAAGAAAATGTAATTGCATTTAAGTTGTGAACTCATTAAAGAGGTGAATGTTAATTGTAATTAGCGAATAGTAATTAACATAAAGATGATGATGATGATAATCAATTAATGAACAATATTCATTAGTATGTTAATGATCAACATTAAACACTTTCTATTTGATTGTCTACAATCTTAATTAATGGTTTGATTTGATTTGATTTTGGAAACGCTTCTGATCAGCTGGAGGAGTCGCCGTTGCCAATCACACTGGACCAATCGATATAATCGCACTAGGTGAACATATAAGGTACAGTTTTATGGGACGTCGTCGAAATGGCCTTTTGGGTTACCTTTACTCGACCCTTGAAGTTTGCGGGGGAAATGTTTGGTTTGACCTTAGCGAAAAGGAGACGATCAAAGAGCGACTTCGGTCCCGAGTCCATGATCCCGTTAGTTATCCTCTTGTTGTCTTTCCCGAAGGCACTTGTACCACAACCGATTGTATCTTACGTTTCCGTAAAGGAGCCTTTGAACTCGGATGTTCAGCTTATCCGATTGCAATTAAGGTAAATAATTAACTTTACATTCTCATCTCGATTGTCACAATTGTCCCATCGAAACTTAAGATATTGATTTTGTCTCGATTTATATTGAAACAAACAAAGAGTTGTCATGTTTCAACTGATTATCATCAATAGTAATACGAGACTAATGATCAATTTAATTGTATTAACTTATTTCTGATTCAATTCACACTTAGTTTATTGATTAGTCTATTGAAAGATTGTTTCAACTGAGTTAAATTGTTTCTTTTTCGTTGGATAACTTTCATATATTGGAACAACAATTAACTTTCATTTTCTTTTTTCAAACTTATCGATACTACAATGTATAAAACTTTATATAAATAATAACATGAAACTTGGATGATAAAGTTACCATTTCAAATTCAATTGGATTATTATTGTTACTTAGAAATTGGAGAAAAAAAAACTTTTTCCTCGTCGAACTTACTTATTAGAACTTTTTTTCCTCCAAAGAGTTTCAACCTGAATGATAAAACAATAGTATCGATCCATGATTAGCTCATCATGATTGTTTCATTAGGATAGTTTTAAGAGTTAAATTAAGATTTAGACACGTTAATCTGGTTCTGGGTGACAATTAACTTAAATATCATTTCCATTGGAAGATGAGATTACAATTGAATGAGATAATCTGATGATTATTTATCATATCACAAAGAGCAAAAAATACTAAGTATTTCCTATGGGATTAATTGTGATTTAATCTGCAAACAGTTTCAATATAAACTGTTTGGTTTTGATTATTAGGATGATCAACTTGACAATTAAACATTAGTCTCAAGAAAGTTGACAAAAATCAGCTAATTAACTTAATCGGCTAATTAATTATTTCATTTCAATGTAATGATTGCTACTTAATCAATTTAAATCATTGGAAAGATTAACAATCAGAATGATAAATTTTGACACAATTTATATAAGTAAAAATTTAATGATGATTTTGTCATTTGGCCTCAGGCATGAAAAAATTGAAAATAAAAATTAATACTTCATATGATTGTTAATTGAATGAAATCAACATAATCATTATCATGATTTGGTTTGTAGTGGTAGTTTTTTAGAACCAAATTTAAATCAACAATTAGGCTCAATTTATTCAATTGTTGACTCTGGACTTTCCCGTCTTTCAATTATTTACTGATTGTTACAAGTTGGTGATCATCAGAATTCAAGTTGAGGAAAAAAAATCTTATTGAAAACTACAGATGAAAGTAAAATCCTTAATAACTATTAATTTGTATGCGAATCAATTCTGATCATTGAACCTGAAAGTTAATCAGTTGATTCTCATGTTCAGAGTTTTGCCTTTAACATGATGGAGATGAAGATGAAAGTTCATTTTTGGACCAATGAATTTGCTCCATCATCAGAATGCAAATGCTACAATTGTTAATTTTATCACATATCCTCATGTCATCATCTTCATCATCACCTCATGACATTGGCATCACTTCATCTCAGAAATCATCAATCGTTCATGGTTAATGATAACCCAAAGATGAATACAAATCGGAAACGGAAAATTTTCCAATTCATCAGTAGATCAACATGAATTCATCATGAACTCGACTCTTTCCCTAACAGAACTCTCTCTCTCTCTCTCTCTCTCTCTCTCTCTCTCTCTGAATTTTGTCCTGTTTCTATTATTAAAACACCAAATTCATGATCAACTAACATGGTGACATTTATAATTAGAGTTGATTAAGTGTTAAACAAGTAAGAAAATTAAAAGAAGATGAAAATTTTTGCTGACCTTTGATGAAGCTGAAAGACGATCAACTTATCCCATGTGAAGATGCGGAGGGAAAATTTTCACAAGAATGAAACTTTAACTGTATCATTTTTTGAGCTTTAATCGACCGCATCTTCATCCTGATCCTTTTCATGATGAAAAAGTTATTAATGAAAACGATCATCAGTTTTCATTAAACTTTTCCATCCTCATCACTTACCCTGAATTTGTTACAATGTTACTGAAGGAAAAAATCATCATCTTCTTCCTTCATCTTCAATAGAAAATATATATTTCACTTGGTGAACAATGTGCTCAGAATTCAATATGATAACAATGGAAACTGAAATTTTCTCCGTAAAAATATTGTTCGAAAAAAAGAAGAAAAAAATTCGAATAGAAAAACTTTTCCTCCCTCTAACCTTTTATACTGAGAAATGTACTCACAGAGTGAACATGAATCTTACATTTCCAACAAGAACAATTAAATTTGATCATTTAAGATGATAATTGAACCATGAACATTGATTAACTTGTATTGATATAATCAAATGAACAATTTAAAGTAAATTGAAAAGTTGTGAAAGTTGATCAAATTGTTTCAAGATTCAATTGACAATTGAAACCATTTTACGAAGCTAATTTATTATACTAATTGTTGATTGATTTTTTCTGTTCTAATTGTGATTAACAGTATGATCTAAGGTATGGTAATCCATTCTGGAATAGTAAACACATTGGATTCTTGGGATTGTGTGTTAAATTATTTACCAATTGGTCAATTGTTGGGGATATTTATTACTTACCACCGGTCAATAAGAAGGTAGAATTGCTCATTTAATTGTAATTGTTAATTAGTCTAAATTAATCTCATTCATTTTGATCATTCACAGGAATCTGAATCATGCATTGAATTTTCACTTCGAGTTCAAGGATTGATTGCTGATCAAATCGGATTGAAAAAGGTTGATCTTGATGGCTACACAATTAAATATGGTAATTGTAACAATAACAATTCAGAGGAAAACGATAAAAGTTTCCAATCAAGTGAAACAATTGTTGAAACAATTAATCAACAATCAGCTACAATTGGCTCGAAAAATACATTCTCACATCATGCTAATCAATCACTCGGTCTTGGACTTAACGGTGAATTGATCACCCGATCTTATTAAAATTACTTAATCATTTCAAAGATTTTTTTAATTGTTTGACTAATTGTATTAACCATTTAGCTAAGAAATGGTTTCATATTTATATATTTTCAATAGTATTTTATTAATTGTTAATTTATCTCGTTTTTTTTACAACTGATTAAATTGAAAATTCAATTATCAACTAGACTTGTCTACTCATTTATTTGATTAACTTTCCATTGATTATAAATTGTGTAGCTTAATTAATTAGCTGCTAACTATTTGTCATGTGTCTATGTGTATATAAGATATGTTTCTAGTAACTTTAATTATTAGTTAATTGTTGGTTCGTCAGTGAATCTGATTGATTTGTTTTCAGTGAAAATGTTTCATCTCATTGGATTGTATTTAAAGTATCAAACTTACTTGGCCTTTTTTTGTATTGTCGTTAATTTTTTGGGGCTAAATTTGGGTATTCAATCATTTTACCTCGATTGTTTGGCTAAATTGTTCCAAGTAAGTACAACAATTAACTTAATTATCCTGTTCTAAAGTTCAAACCAATCTTTTTCTAGTATATTCACAACAATGAGAGCGAGTTTTTTACAAAGAAACGAAAATTAATTAGTAAATCAAATGAAGATCCTGAGACAATCAAATGTGAAGGTTACACTAAACGGGAAATTGAACAAGGTTATAGTGAGAAAGGTAAACAATTAGTGACTTTAATCAACAGAATCTCAATGGTCTATTTAATTGTTAGATGCTGACCTATGGAATCTCCTGAAACCAACATGGCAACCCAACGAATCAGAATATGAATACAAGGTGAACAATTTAGGATTATTGTTGTATTATTGTGGCCTAACTATTAGATTAGGAATTTTGTTACCACATCGATTGATCATCTTTCTCATGGTGTTGATCTGTTCTTATGGTGGTACCAGTTTTCTAGAGCTACTGTCAATCTTTTTTCCGAATTCACCGCTAATTTCAGTTCTTCGTGGGTCAATTTGTAGAATGGGGTTTCGTCTCAACGGAGTGAGTTTCTTTTTGCACTGTACCAACCACGTAGATGAAAATAAAGGTAAGTTGTAAACGAATTCATCTATTATTTTTAATTAACTAGTTGATATTTCGATGGAAAGTGGATCAAAGTGATTTTGACCTTGGTGGTTGTGGAATCGCAATTCCAAACCACACCGGGCCAACTGATATTCCCGTTCTACAAACATATAAAGACTTTGGTTTCATGTTCGCCATGAAAAAAGGGTTTCTAATTAATCCAACCTACAAGTCGCTTAGTAAGGTCGGAAATTTTGTCCGTTGCGAGCCAACTGATGGATCGGCAGTGATTAAACAACGAATCATTGAACGAGCAAGTAAAAAAGATCACAATCCGTTGGTGATATTTGCCGAAGGTACTTGCACTTCAGTTGATTCAATAATGATGTTAAAAAAGGGATCTTTTGAATTGGATTGCAAAATTTGGCCCATTGCAATTAAGTACAATCAATTGTATTGTCAACCCTTTTGGGACAGTAGAACTCAAAGTTTCATCGGTTTTGTTTTCAAACGTTAATCAATTGGTCAGTCGTTGCTGATATTTATCATCTTCCACCGGTCATCAGAAAGGTAAATTTTAAACAAACAACAATTAACCAAATGAAATTTAAATTGTTCTCATTTCATCTAATCAACAGGAATCTGAGTCTAGTATTGAATTTGCTAATCGTGTCCAAGGACTAATTGCCAATCGTATTGGATTAAAACAGATCAATATTGATGGAATCAAAGCTAAACAAGGAAAACTATCGTTTAATTGTGACAATTAACTGTGGACAATCAAAAAATGGTAAACCATTAGAACGCAATTAAAACTTGAACTAATTTAGTATCGCAAAGTGTTTTCAGATCAATTTAAAACTTAATTTAATAAATTGATCATTTAATTTCACTTAATCTTATCAATTGTGTCTTAATTGTTATCAACTAAATATACTATTGAATAAGATGATTAATAATCAAACAATAGGTTGTAAGCAACGACATGAAATACTCAATGAATTTGAAATGAATTAAATTGAAACTCAAAATAATCAGACAAAAAGGTTCAGAACTTTTTTCCAGAAAAAAAACTTCCTTCATGATAATCTTATCATGATGATGATAATCATCATTATAAACATGATCACGATTCTTGATGTAATAATGAGTTTTCATCTTGAACTCACACTCGAAACATTAAATAATATTATTGGATTAAAGTTGAAAATTGATTCAATTCTTAACACTTTCCTTGGTTGATTGTCACTCTAATTTGATTCATTACCATTTTAATCATTGAAACAACCAAACTTTTCTAAAATGATTAAGATTTTCACAGAATCAACAACAATTTAATTCACAATTGTTTCCAATTAAATTGAGCAACTTGTCTAACTGATTGATACTATTATTATGTTCAACTTTAATCATCTACTGTTCAGAATTCACATGAAATTTGATTAAATAATTATTATGAATTCATTACTTAATCATAATTATTGTTACATATCCTGACAAGGTAAATGTATTATAATTTATAGTTACTTCATGTATCTTGTTGATATTAATTTGACACAATCAAAATTTCAATTCAGTTTCACAAAATCTGAATTATCTTCATCCATATTGTTCAAATGAAACTGATTATTTGTCGTAATCACTTTTTTTTTGTCATTTGATTAATCATCTAATTGTTAATCATCATTATGTTAACTTAAATTAGATTCTCATTTGATTTAGTTAAAAGTAGTAATATATTAACTTAATTTTCTTGACTGGTCATCTTCATCTGATCAATATGATAAACTTAATTTTAACAATTCACTTTCACCATTTCCAGGGTGATTGATGATTAGTTAAGTTAATTTTTTGAGTGTCCATCATGTCAGTCTGATGGATTTACTTGAATTTAACAATCATCTCTTAATATGGTTGGTAATTTGGTTTCTACGTAAATTGTAATTGCTTCAAGTTAGAGGATAATTTAATTTATCCTTTCGATCTCATTTTCTTAGTTAATGTCAATAGTGTTGGTCATCTTTTTGGACAATCGACTTGTCTTTAAATCCTCTCCTTCAAGTTTTCCCTTGGCAATTAAACTTGAGAGCAACAATAATTTTCACATGATTACAATTAAAAAAAATCATCTCTATTTTTCACCAGAGATAATTAGTTGACTATTTAAATGGATAACCATTATTATGAGAACCTAAGATTATACAATTTGCTTTGATTGGCAATCAACTTGATTGTTGGTATACATAAGACAAGGGATAAAGGGATAAGATGACAATGATTAAAATAATACAAAAAGGACGAGAGAGTTGATTGCAATCAGATTGATTGTTAAAAGATGAAAACCATCAAAATACAATTAATTTGCATGTTAATCAGTTGTAGTTGTGATTATAAATAAAACGGTGTTTCCAAAGATTTGGCATCAAGATGCTAATAAAAAAAGGCAAAATTCAGAATATCATGGAACAGGAAATAGTATTAACACATGAATTTGTATTGATTGGGAAGAGGAAAAAATAAATAAATCAACAAATGATTTTACAATGGAAATTATTATATCTTGAATATTGAACAGATATTCAACTGTCTTGAATGTCTCCCTTTGGATGGATGATGACAGTCTCACGATTTGATTTCTTTTCTTCTTCCTCTTTATCATCTTTGGTTCATGTAACACTTATGGATTCCTGTGAATATGTGACTGAGCAAATATCATTTTTTGAAATTATTTTATGAAACAATTGGAAATCAAGAGAGATAAACCAATGAGGCAATATTGAAACACGTCGAGTCCAAATGTCAAAGCAGGACCAAAGATACCAGATGATGATTGATGAGATCACTAAGTGTTATTAGTTGATTGTATCCGTTTGTTTTTTCATCACCATCATCATCAGCAATGATTGTTTTTCCATCTCTTTCTTTTCTTTCTTTTTCCCTTTTGTTTTGATTTTGCTTTCACTTTGATGACATTGGTTCGTGAAAAAAAAGAGTCCAGAGAAAATTGTATCCAAGATAATTGTCTAGTATTAAAAGTCAATTGATTCTCAGTCAACCATTGGTGTGATTTTTTTTCTTTCGTTTTTGTGTCATCCTCTTCGAGTACATTGTATATAAATCGCAAAATCCATGATTATTTCAGTTAGATTTCCAATCATCAAGTTGTTACTCAAATAATCATCAACAGCAACAACTGCTTAAGGCTATTATGCATTGTGAATTTACAGAGTACAAAAAGGTACATTGACTTATAGCGTGATGATTATGTGATTTTCCTTCAATAAAAAGTTAATTCTTGAATCTTTTTTTCTTCTCCTTCCCTATTTAGGATAAAAATGCTTGACCAGAGTAAAAGTTGCAAAAACAAGGCAAAAGGAAGATTGGGAGTGGGAGTGGGAAGGATAAATCGAGAAAAAGTAGGATATTAGAAGATATTTAGGAATGGATTTGAAAGGCAGTAATATCACTGATATTATATCATCAACAGTAGCATTAACAGCAAATGTCATGAGTGAAAACATAGTAAAAAGTAATTTCAGTTCAAGAAGGTTTAGTTGATTTGATTTGATTTTTTCTCCATCATCATCAGCTTCATCTTTCTGACTGACTCCAAGTTTTTTTTTGTTTCTCCATCGAATCATCTTTCTGTTTCAAACTGTATGAAATATTTTCTCAGTATTTTGACTATAAGATTTTCTCTTTTCTCCTTTGACATGGCTTGACTTTTTATCATCATCATCACAGGTTTCTGATCTTTGGTAAAAGGAAATGCAAGTGAGAACAGGCAGGAAAAAAAAGAAACCAAATCAGATGCAATTGCAACTAGAATCAGCAGAAACAGCAGCAGGATGAGAAAAAATATAATCACAGTCAAGTAATCATCAAGATGAGATGACCTGAGATGAAGGGGTCACTTATGCTTAACGAGAAGTCGTGGAGATGGAGATTGTTTTACTTTTTTTCTTCTCTTCCTTCTTGATTTCTCTCAACTCTTCCTTTCATTTCTCATGGATTCTTGATCTGTGATTTTTTTTCCATCTCCAAACGGTTCCTGAGAATACTCTCTTTTTTTTTCTTCCTCAGAATTCTTATCCTTTGCATCTATGGTCGATTCTTGGAAAGGAAGGAGAAATGATCTGAGGATGAAAATGATTATCATCAGTTGGATGGATTGACTTTGATTCCAAATACATATAATGTACAATGTATCTTGCTAGGGATTTTTTTCTTCTCATCTTAAGAATCATCTTGATCTCCTTTGGTTCACTCGTTTTTTTCTCGTGGTCATTTTATCATGAGATTTTCTTCTTATTATTGTTGCTGATCAATCTGCTGCCATTTCCTTATACCATTTATTAGATGATGAATATATTTTAGATCTTCTAACATGATAAATATTAGATATATTTCTCACTGTTGACTTGACAAGTTTGTATTTGATTAATCATTATATTAATATATAGAGTTTTTATCACAGGAAAATTTTGTTAGTTAATTTGATTAGTTGTCCATGAATATAAAGTCCAATTATTGTTAGGTCCAAACTGTTGAGGGCACGAGTGATGCTTTGGTCCCTGGACTAGGCTCAAGATTTTCATCTTTCAAAAAGTTGAAAGGAAAACAAACAAGATGACCTTTAATTTGATCAATTTTGGTTCTAGCAAGTTCGATATTTGTATCGACAAGCCAAAGTGTTGCTTTCCGTTGTCTTAATTGTTCATAATTGTGAACTTCATCTGAAGGTATAACACCAAATACTTGGTCATAAATTTCAGTATTTTTGTGGGCAATTTTTAGCCAAGTATCAAAATAAAATGCATCCGAAATGGGGTCACGAACATCGATTCGTGATGATTTAGATCCACTTTTAATCTGTAAACAACCAAGATGTTCACGGAATAGATATCGACGAAGTGATCCAATAAATTTACCGCATTCATAAGGTTCACCATTCATTAAACCATCTTCCATCTCGGTGTCACGGATAACACAAGCGACCTCACTATCTCGAGATCCCGTTAGACTGCGATCGTTTATATTAGATGAACCAATAAGTGCTACTCGGTCATCAGCTAATATAATTTTACTGTGAACATAAATCAACTCGGTAACAGGTTTACCATTAAGTTCATCGTGATTTCTTAAAGAGAGAAACGAAATGTATTTTGTTGTATCACCAATTTCTCGTTGCAATCGTTGAAGAAGAGCATCATTACCACGACAAATTGATTTTAAATTCCAGTGAGTAATTACTTCTAAATTAACGCCCGTTGATGTGCCCAATTCGCCTTCGAACGCTGGTAGTAAGGGAATAATGATAAAAACTCGGAAAGTTTCATTAGCTCGATAAGCTCTGATTATCCGTCTCACCAAAGCTTCACCAACTTCATTAATCACTTCTCGTGGATACTTTTTCAATCCTCCGGATCTGGTGATGAAAAATTGATTCTCAATGTAAATATAATGACGAGAATTGTCAATTATGTCAATATATGCCTCGTAAATTGATGATTCTGTAAACTTGGTTCCGGTTGACCAGTCGGAAACACTTCGAACCAATTGACATTCAGCTCGGAAACTGCAAAGAACTTGTTGCTGATCATTAGTCTGATTTAATTGATTTTGAACATCAGTCTCAGCTGATGATGAAAACGATGATATTGTTGCGTATAAAGGTTCATCTTCCGTCGATTTTGATGGCATGTTAAGATCATTAGTCGATTTAGGGCATAACCAGTCATATTTTGAGTGAAATTGGGCCTTTTGACATTTGGTAAAATTCCAACGTTCGATGAAATGTCTTGCGACGTCCCGAGCTGCATTACCTTCGACCACCATACCAACATCATGCCAAGGCATTCGAGGCGTTTTTCGCCGATCAATACTGTCCTCGAAGGGCCTATTAAAATCACAAGGATCTTTGGCAATAAAATTACAATAATCTTTACCAATCCAAAGTTTATTCCCACCAGAGAGATTGGTCAATCCAAGTTCACTCGGGGTTCGCCTCAGGGCAACTTTCTTTTCAGTCTCGGAAAGTTCAATATCATCAAGAGAATCTAAAGATGAAGTTCTACGAATTATTGTGTGACGTCGAAATTTTTTCAAATTCTATCCAATAAACATTTTCAAAGGTCGAACATGATATCATTGTGAAGATGGTTGAATTTTTTTCCATGTTGTTATTTAATAAGAGAAGAATAAGATTAAGAAAAATAAGATTAGAGGAAAACTAAGCAAGATTATTTTACAAAGTGAAATTAATTGTTATCATAGATAGTAAAAGACAATTCAATTGGATAATTAGTTTCAATTACAATGTGATTTCTATCTTTCAAGTGATTCTGTTTTTTTTATCATTTCTAAATAATAGGTTAGCCTCAAGACAAGAGAAGAAAAAAAAGTTCAATGAGACTGGAAAAAAATAGTTAGCAGGGTATTCGAGAAGAATAAGAATGATTTTGGAAGGAAAAAGTCATTGAGAGAAAAATTTACAATCCTTTCAAGTTTAATTTTGTCCTAAGTAGATTAGATTCACTGAAATGTCAAGAGAATTGAGAATTTTTTATTTTCTCTCTCTCTCTCTCTCTCTCTCTCTCTCTCTCTTGTACAATATCAAAAAATTCTGAGGAAAGATATCAAGAGGAAGAAGATTATTTCATGGAACAAATTGTATAAAATCTTCAGAGTTCTGGTTATTATCCTCATGCTACAATTTCTATTAGGTTCATAAGATTGAAATATGTCTACACTTATTTCTTAGAAGATCATTAATCGTTGATTAATTCAGATAATAAAGAGAGAGAAAAATGTATTTGTATTCAATAGGAACAACTTACAGCGACAACACGATTTAGCGTTTGTGAACTAACAGTTGGACGTTGATTACTGTTATCGTTGGTATTACTTGGATTACAATTGTTATTGTTACCATTTGGCTCTATTTCATTGCTCTTTAATCTTGACTCATTGTCTTTTAATCCAGAGACTAGAAAACTGACCGAGTTTTTGAATGGTTTATCAACACCTTTGGCTTGATTTTCTTTGTGCTTTGCATTCATTAAGGCACAAGTTACACTGAATAAAGTTGGATTATCACTTTTACCAACAACTTTTTTATTTGTTTCACCATTTTTATTGATTTCTTTAACACTATCACTTGATTTATCACTTTTAAAGTCACTATTACTTGAGATGTCGCCTAAATCGGTGAGACGATGTTGATATGTATCCCAACGTCCATAACAAAGGTCAATACCTGAAACAAATGCTATTTGCTGGTCGATAACAATAACTTTCTCATGGTGAGACCAGAAAATTGTTGCTCCTTTGACGATGTCAGGGTGACGGAGAATCTTGATATTTGGGTGTAGGCCCATGAGAATTTTTTTCGTATATAAGCTGCTTATTTGCAGGGCAAGTTCGATCTCTTTGTAAACAAGAATATAAACAGCTACTCCTTGTGAGGCTTTTCGAGATAAAATGATGTCCAGTCTCCATGTATCACCATGAATTACTGGTCTTTTCATATAGATTTCTGGACTTAACCACCAACCAGTGATGAAAATTTCTTCTTTCGCTGATTCTAACGCTGCGGCAACTGCTTCGAAATATGAAACACCATCGACGAACCATTGACAGGGTGTATTAGGACGTAAAGGTGCAAATGATTCGTATCTATTGGGTTGGGTGTAATCCTTACCCAGAGTAGCTGCAGTTCGGTTAATAGTCTCACTCCAATCAGATGCAAGTCTTTTGGTCCAACATCTAATATCAAGATCTCGAGATAAATTAGTTATTCGAACTGAGTACAAATCGCCAGTAACTTTGGGATCGTAAATTGCACTGAATAGACGATCCATGAGGAGGACACAGCGAATTGAACCGGTAGTGGGATGTAAATAGGCAATAAATGAATCTTTTAAGAGTAACCAACGTTTCCGTTGGGTCATGGCCATGGTTGAGAAAATATATTTGGCACGAATACAACAATTGACCATAGTGTGACCACCATCTTTTTTCTGGACAAATGATTCCAACCCTTTATGTCCAAGTTGATTAACAAATGATAGTCGTGAGATCTCAAGGAAATTAAGGGTTGACTCGTGTTCACGAAATCCTTGAATAGATAGCAGTGCGTTTAAATACTCTTCCAGCATTTTCTGATAACCATTTCATCACCAATTAGTTGATGTAATAATAATTAAACCAATAGGGAAAAACGAAGCATGAAATTAGAAAAGAAATAAATAAATAGTAAAAAAATTAATTAGAATGAAATTAAAGAAATAAAACTTAATTGAGAGGGTTAAACGTTAGTGGAACTAAACAATTAAAATAATTACAATTGAATTGGTACATTGAACTTCAATTGCATATCAATTGTAATATCAATTTCTATGAATTTACTCAACATAAACATGATTAACTTATTCATTTGATAAGTTAACCAAACAAATTCATCAGTTAATGGTAACAATCGTAAACATTAAGTGAAAATAGTTAATTACTATCAAGTAATAGTTGTACCATTTGTAGCATTAAAATAAGTCGTTAAACTTTAAGTTAATTGTACAATTTAAGGTTGATTTTTTCAATAGTGAATAAGATTAAGTGGTAAGTTAGTGTTGGATAAATTGAAAGAGTTGGATATTGATGTTAGATGGAAAATGATTAAACTGATTGAATAGTGAGAAGTCCTGATAGATTTGTTAACAAATTGTTCTCAATCAAAAGATGCTCAAAGGTTTTCAGATGATTATTATTATAAATTGATTTTCTTGCCAGTGACTAACAACAATTTACCAATAAATCATAAGTTTTGTTTCATTCTGCTGTCTGTTTATCAACTTGAGTGTTACTATTACTAGGGAAGTGTATAAAATGCTATTGGAGATGGAAACGTCTGTCAATAATCAAGAGATTGACACGAAGTTAACAAAACATCATTGGACCCAATTGATAAATTGATTGTCTCTCAACTGATGAGATATATAAATAAATATACTCTCTGTTCATTTGATTGTAACATGAAAAATATTGAGTACCAAGGTTAAATTCAATTACATGTTGAAAGTAAGAATAAGCGATTAGGCTTTTGTATGTTGAATAGGATGATGCGATTTCATAATAATATGTAATTAACAATTATTTGTGATGGAATGATTTCCATTGCAAATGATAAATTAAACTCACTGGTCGATTGCGAAGCTCTTCAGGTGCTAAAAATGTATCAGGTTTGAATGAGATTTCAGGTAATCCTTTCCTGGTTCCACTTGTATCCATAACACTACGACGTTTGACACTTTTACCTCTCGAAGATAATGGTAAGGATAAAGTTGCTAGAAAAAGTTTCAACTGTTGATGTAAATAGAGAAAATTACTGTGCTTTTTACGAATAATCCAGGTAAATGGTCCATGATTTAGTTCATAACTGTATCTGTAAGGGGAAAAAAGTGAAACCAGACATGGAACAAATTAGAAGATGAAATTAACTAGTTTAATTGTGGCAATAAATCAAGCGATTATTGTTTTTGATCGGTTGTATTAATAAATTAACTTCTTTTTACTTGTGTTGATATTTATTTCTCATATTTATCAAGGTCCGAGCAAAATTTATTGGGGTAGAGTTAATTGCGATTAGTTCATGATTCTTTTAATGAATGTTTTTATTCATACTAATCGATTTTATGATAAATATATTTTAATTGTCAATCTGACATTTCTAGATTCAATCCACGATTTTGATTGATAATCTGAGACTCATCTTTACACGAGACACACAATTTGCACAGAAAACTGAGCTTGAATTGATTAAAAATGGAATTCAAATTTACTATCAACTTAATTCCCATATTAATCAAGTTAATCTAGCGCAATTTAAAATATGATTCAGTTAATTTTTTCTAATACATTTGCTTGGATCTTCAACTACTTACAAGTATTGGTCGATATAATGGGAATTTGGTGCCTCGGTGGTTTCGATGAACTTCGCACTGATAGGAACTTCTGGAATTAATGTTGGCTCAGAAGGAAGATAAAAAGCCGTTGGCACTGAATGAATCCTCGTGAAAGGAATCAAATTATCTGAAATTTGACGGATGAATAAAGAAGAAGGATAAAATGAGATGGAAGGAAATTAATCTTTCTTCCTGAAATAGATATAAGATGAGAGAAAAGATATGAATTTTTCTTACCTGTTTTATTAGGCGATTCATCGAAAGATTGATTCTCAAGTTGACCTAAGGGTATATCAACGAAACCTTTGTTGACCGTACCAGAAACACTGGCCTGATCTACATCAGACTCATTCATGATACAGGTTTTACTTGAACTAAGAATCGATGACCAACTTTTCTGTTAATGATTCAAAGAAGAAGAAATAAACTAATTAGCTGAATCCAATGGAAGAAAGTATCAGATGGTTGATAGAAAATGAGATGATAAGCATTGGAAATGAGCTTGAACAACAATCAAAGTGAGAACAATGAATGAGAAAGAAAAACAATAACGGTCATGATAATATTGTAGTTCAAGATGAAGATGCTGATAAAATTCAACTGAATCACTTAATTTTCACATTTTGCTTTGAGTTGGATTAGATGATTATCACAATTGAACAACAAAATTCACAATGAGATGAAACAGAAAGGGGATGAAGCAAAACATAATTAAGACAATTGTAATTAGTGAATCACCTTGGATTTCATGTTGACAGTTAAATAGTCACAAAAACCACAAAAAATACTAATTAATAACCAAGAGAAAAGAGAGATTGAGATCCAAATTAGTGTAAAGGTAAAGGTGACTGGTTAGTGGTTGAGAACAAGTATCATCATAACGAAAACATGGATTGTGATGAATTTGTTTCCTCTTTTTTTGGTAGAAAATCCAAATTGATTAGACATTAAATCCACTACTGTGCCTGTAAAACAGAAGAAAAAAGAACAAAATAAAAGGGGAAAGATAATAAGATTAGTAAAAAGAGAAAAAACAAAGTAACATAATTAACTAGAGAAAAGAACAAAAAAACCATTAAAATTACACTTTTGATTCACTGAGAGATTAACATGGGAACAGAAGGCGAAGAAAAAAAGAGTCAACAAGTCTATCTGATGGAAAGAATTGAGGTTATTTCGTATTTTTAGCAATTAGAGACACAACTGGTGATGCGAACAAATTAACAAAGATTATGAAGATGGAAGGAGAAGAAAAAAGAAAATATTCCAAATAGAAAAAAAAAGTTCGACAAAAAGAATTTTTGCTTTTTGGTTTTCTCTTTTCTTTTTTGATCCTTTTGATTATAATGTTATTAATTCTATTGGTCGTTCATTAGCTTAACCAGGAAAAACATGATTTCCACTATTGGCAAATTTATGGAAAACCTTGAATTTTGGAATACAAGTGAAAGAGAAGGAGGAAGTTGATGGTGATGATGTTAATTCGGTTGTTGATTCAATTAAACACAAGAGAAAAGTGATTACAATCAAGAGAAACTGGTTAACACAATGTGGATAACAAATGAGAAATATGGTGATGTGTCAGTTATATTAATCTCTATGAATGATTAATTAATTAATTTGATTGGTTATTGTTGTTTTGTTTTCTTCTATTAGTTGATGATGATGATAATTGTTGTTGGTGTCAATTGATGATCTTGATTCCAGTGGAAAATAAATAATCACAATCACTGATAGTTAACTAAATAATATCACAACTGTTATTTTTTCTATTCCATTTCAAGGTAAAATTAATAGTGAATCAAGATTTTCACTTTACTGGTTTGTAATCAAGAGTAACACTCACACACAATTAAATTATTGAAATGTTGATCCCGTTGATTTGATGGGTTAATTTAAATAAATTATTCCAAATTGTAATTGTATTGACATGAAGGTGAAGAGACAAACAGATTAACACTAATTGTAAACAACAATGAGAAGAGAAAATGAAATTCAAAATGGCGAACGGGAAAAAGACACAATTCAAATGAAGAAATTTAATCCAATTGTTGGTTATTTAGAATTTATTAATTTACCTTAACCGTGATTTAGATTGTAAAGTAATTAAGGAAACCATTTGAAGACGAAAATGAAAGTAACTCAATTTTTTTTTTCATGGAAAAGTATAAACAACAAGTTACACGTGAGAAGAACAAAAAGAAAGAGAAAAAGAAAGAGAAAAATATTATTTTTTTTTCGTTTTCTCTTTTACTTGTTAACCGATTTGTTGATTGTTTACCTTTTTTTTTCTTTTCTTAATTTGGTTTTTTTCTTAATTGTTTTGATTTTTTCTCTTTTAATTTACTTAATTTACTAATTGCAAGTCTCACCAATTTGGAATAATTTAATTCTAATCAGTGGTTAACTTTAAATTGTCTTTAAATTAGAAATTTAATTTCTCTGTGTAGGTGAACAAGTGATTGTTTGGTTTTCCTTTTTAATTTTTTTTTCTTCAATTGATTAAATTTAATTTTCTATTCTTCTTATTGATTAATTCAAATTACTTATGTAAGTTACCTGTTAATTAACCTTAGTAATCAACGATCAGTGATTAGGTTAATTTTTTGTGCGTTTTCATTGACATCAACATGATTCTTATATTTGGTGATTTGCTTTTGGTGTTTCCCTTTGTTGATTTCAAATATTATGTTTTACTTTGTTGATTAATTTGATTTAGCTAATTAACTTTTATTTTATTTAATCATTTTCGTGTTTATCCTTGTGCTACAGTCTGTTAATTAATAATCAGCTGATTGATGATTCATTTCAACAATTAAACTTGATTATCAACAAGTTAAATGTGATCGACCTGATTTTTGATTGTCATTTTTATTTTGTTTTTCCAATTGCTTACTGATTGTCAACTTAATTGTTAATCATTGTCTCATTGAGAGCGAACAGTTGATTTACAATTTGATTGGCAACCAGATAGAAGAAAAAAAAACAATTAGAATAATAATAATTAGCTTAACTATTTCACGTCAGCTTAATTGTTGATTGATTCAGATTATCACATAATCTAAATTTGAAACAAGTTTAATTGTTGAAAGATTTTTAATTGCGAACTTATAATAATCAACAAATTCGCAGGGTTGATGATTTAATAAATAATCAACTTGTCGTTTGACATTGATTATCAAGGTGAACTCCAAATGATTCATTCATTAATTATAATTAATCAACTAATCGGATGATAAGTTTCTCAGTTTTTTCCAAGTTACATTTTGAGTAGAGATTAAATTTAATCATTGAATCAGAAATCTAATTATAATCAATAGTTTCCAATGAATTGATTAGCAAAGAAAAAAAAAGTTGATTAAATTTTCCACAATAAATTAACTTTCAACTTTCGTTAATTGTGATTGAATAGTAAGTTAATCAACCGTTAGATGGCGAGACTACAGAATTTGAGTTCTCATGACAACATCGCCATCTCTTGATGGGAAATGTAAACAGTTAATCAACTATTTTTAATTAGATTAACCAATGGCTTCTAATTGACTGGAATTTAAATCGATTTGGCTTGAAAAAGCTAAAGATAATCATTGGATGATTAGCTAATTTCACAGCCGATCGATTGAGAAACTTTTAATTCAATTGAATGAAGAGATAGTAACCAGATAGAAACTATTTTCCAAATTAGTTATCAAAGGGTAAATTCTCATGATAATCAATTTAAACTCGAATGATAATCTTGATTAAGAAGAGATATTTGTCACTCTCTCTCTCTGTGTCTCGTTCTCTGTCAAGAAATAGATAAAAGTATCAACACATTAATTAGTATTGATTAGGAGGAGAAAATTCTCCATGATGTTTGTAATGGAAATGAACTGATTCTTTCATCTTTCCTATTGAGTATAAAATTCCAATGGTTAATGACCAGTCTTTGGATGATTTTGATTGGCGATTTTTCATCATTTTCCTCTTCCTGATCATCCCTGCTCCATGTAACACTTTTGGATTCCTTTTAAATGTGGTAATAGTAATTGAGGAAAACAGTGAATTCCAAATGGTGGTTTACAGTTTTAATGGGTGTTGACCAAAAGATGGAAGAAGAGAGATGATGATGAACAGCTTAATGAGAGAGAGAGAACAAGAAAGGAAGAAGAAGATAGAAAATAGAAAGAGAGAGAAAGGGAAATGGATGTTAAAGAGATGAAGAGAAAGAGTGAGAGTTAAAAAGTGATTAAGCTCTTTTACCAATTTATTTACTCTCTTCGCCTCCTTTTCCTCTTCCACCGCGGATTGGAGGGAAATCAAACAAAGAACAAAAATCTTTCTGTCTTCTCTCTCTCTCTCTCTTCCATTCATAAAATTGTCTCTCTCTCTCTAACTGTTAATTCCCAATTACAACAAGACAGAAGGCAAGGAAACAGAAGATAAAATAATTGAGAGACAATTAACCGTTCAACTGTGTTACTATATTGCAATCGAATAGAAAAAAGGTTTACATTGATTCTAATAGAAAAAAAATGTTCTTTTTCGAGATGTAATGACTAATCGGTCCCTTTTTTAATTGAGAATAGAAAAAGAAACAACCAAATTGAGGGAACAGAATTAAAATTGATTGTTGGCCGCATGTTTTTCTTTCTTTAATTGGTGTTTCTTTTCAATTAATTGTAATTTAATTGGGTAATTATATCATTCGTTTGGAATATTTTATCCATTTTTAATTGGAATTCACTTTTAATCTACATTAAGTCTATTCTAAATTAATTCAACTCTTTATTTTTTTTGTTCTCTTCTTTAATTTTTCATTTATCTTTCTCTTTCTTTTCTTTCCTTCTCTCTCTTTCTCTTTTACCTCCTCTGCCTCTGTGTGATTTTTTTTCTCTCTTCACAACAACAATATCAACAACTGCTAACTTTGAATCTCTTTCTCTCTCTGTGTCTCTTTTTTGTACTCACTAAATCTCTGTAAGTGTTTTTTTGCCTTTCTCTCATTTCTCTTTCTCCTTTTTTTTAATATTACCTATTGTTTGTGTCTTTTGTTGTCATCTTGCTCTTCATTTCACTCTCTCTCTCTCTCTTTCTCACTCACTCACTCTTCTATTTTCAGTCAAATTGATTCACTTTTTACCTTCATGTGTCCGTTGTTTTTATTTTATTAATTTGTATCTTTGTGTTTTCTTTTTTTTTTTGTATATCAATTCTCACATGGTTTTTTAGTTTGTCCTCTTCTCCTGTGTGTTTGACTTTCCTTGGTCTCGCCTGTGTCTCTTCAATAGTGATATTGGATTTAGATTATCACTTTGCTGCATTTCACTTAACCCTCCGCTCGTACCGGTTAACTTTTTTTCTTTTTTCAAAAATCTCCATTTAAATCTATCACCATTGATTCCAACAGTGACTGTAGTTATACCAATTATAATCAAATGGGTGACGATGAAGGTGGACATCATTCCCAAGGATCTTCCATCAAACCAACTATTGAAAGAGGTGCGAGTTGGTCTTACAGTGAGACAAGAATTTTACTCTCCTTATGGGGACAAGATCTGGTACAAAGACAGTTAACTAATTCTAAAAGAACTCGCCATGTTTGGGAAAAGATCGCTGAAAGAATAAAAGAACATGGCTACGAGCGAACAGCAGGTAAATTTTTCTCTCAGTCATCTTAATCTTTCCTCTCCAATATTATGATCATCTATCAACCCTTTACTTATCCTCTTCTTCTTTCAAATTATTTTACTCCTACAGATCAAGTTAGAACACGGGTTTTCAATATGATAGCTGAATATCGAAGGATTTTGAAAAATCCTACAGCAGAAAGGAAGAAAAAATGTATATTTTTTGATGCTCTACATAAAATTTATCAAGCTAAAGATGCCAATGGAGTTAAGGCTGCACTTAACTATGATGATGATTATGACCTAGAACCACTTGATCTGGGACCTGATGATGGTATGGACGGCGATGATCGTGTGGACAGCGGTGAGGAGGGCGATGATCTATTCTCATATACCATGTCCCCTAATTCTAATGGAGTCAGTGAAAGACAAGGAACCTCCACTAATTACAGGGAACCTTCTGCATCTACTTCTACGCATAATTTGGACAAATCTAGAAATCTTGATCATGGTAAGTTGAAGCTTTTTCCAAAGTAATCTAAATTGTTGAATCTCTTGATTTAACACAATTTTTCTGGTCTATTTAAAGATGATGAAGACGACGAATTACCTCATACAAGTCGGGAAGGTATGTTTATATAAGCATTTAATTTATTAGTATTAATCATTTGTCTCAATAAATTGATTACTGATGTAATTTTTTTTCTTTTTATTCTTTAGATTCGGGTAACCCTGCAAAAAGACTTAGATCCGATTCAAATCCTTCTGCATTCTATCAACATTCTTCTAATGGTAATCAAGCTAATGCAAATTACGAAGCACCTCCAACAGCTTCGGCTCTTCTTATTGACAGAATATTCAAACACTTGACCAAAGAGACCGAAGTGATGCGCGAATGGATTAGCTTGGAAAAAGAACGCTTCGAACGTGAAGCTAGTCGACGAAAAGAGGAGAATGAACGAGAAGAGAGAAGAGAAAAGGCTTTTCTCGATACGCTTATGAAAATGCAAGAGCACACATTCAAACTTCTTTCATGCTTTAATGCTGATAAAAGTCCTACCCCTAAATCTAACTCAGCATCAGAGACTTCGACAACTTATATGAATGAAACTACACCACCACCAACATCAACAACCACACCAATACCACAAAGAAGTTATTCTGGAACCAGGTCTACCACCAAACAACAACAACAACAACAACATATGCTATGTTAAAATGAAGCAAATTTTTGAAACCATAAAGAAACACTTCCTCCACGATGAATCAACTTAATCCTGATGGCGATTTATATACAAACCTTTCATCATTATTGCAAAGGAACCAAACATTACGTTGGACTGAGTTATCCCATCTCAATCGGAAGGTTTAAAGAGACAAAAAGCTGTGACCTTTCACAATCAAAGGATGAAATCTTCTACCTCTCTCTCTCTCTATCTCTCAAGAAACTCGAAGATTACCTAAGCATCACAACCAGCGACATTTGTTTTCAACTAATTAGTTGTCACTATTAATACCACAAGTAATCTAACTTCTATTCTTTTGCAAATAACCTCACTTCTCTATTCCTTTCCAATGATACCTCTCAACTAACTGTAGTTTTCATCATCCACACAATGGATTCCACAATTACCTTGCTTTTCTTCCCTTCTCACTCTTTTCGTTCATCGTAAACACTGAATTTTATTTATTACAACACATCCATTTCTCTATGTAGTATAATCATTTGACTTTTTCCTTTCAAGAGCTCAGTTTCATTCACGACAAACCATAAACACAAATACACTACACACAATCATGTCTTCATATTTTCCGTCGATCAAAAATACTCTCATTTCTTTGTGCTCTCCATCTCTCTCTCTCTCTCTCTCTCTCTCTCTTTATCTTCACCTTTAATCATTTTTTTCTTTTCACTTAAACATTTTGCCATTAATTTTTTTTTCTAAAAGTGATGATTTCCATGTTTCCATTGGAATGACGAATTATTTTCTAATTCTTACAGCCACCACACTCGTTTTTTTTTCGTTTAACTAAATCTTCTGTTCCTCGAATGATTTCCTTCAAGTTTCTCATCATGGAAATTATCATCATCAACATCATCATCATCACCTTTTTTGTCCTCCTTAATCATTTTTGTTTTCAACTTTCACCTTCTAACATGAAAACTAAAACGATAAACAAACAAAACACAAAAATCCAATAACAATAATATTAATTCAATTAAAGGAAAAACAAAGAGAATTAATTTATTTCCATTCCCAATAGACTGTCCAAACCTCTAAGACAATTTAAAAGAAACTACAATTAAGACTAATCTTTAATTACCGAGCTTATCAACTCTCGACAATCAATTTAATTAGTCAACAATCCAACTTGTTTAACAGCCAATTGTCAACATCTCAAACAATCAAAGTCAATTGATAAACACCAACAATCAGGCAGCAACAATTTAGATGAAGTTTATCATCTTAAAGATGATTTTCACAATTAACTAATAGCCAAATGGTTCAAGCATTTAATTAACTTTTACAACTTGAACAAAATTGAAATTGATCATGTTAATTGTTAATTGTTAAAGGTTGAGCTTTTTTTTTAATTGTCCTTCGTTTTTGTTGATCAAAATTTCAACCATTGTCAAGTTAATTACTGATGATCAGCACTGAAAATTAATCAAGGAAAGAAAAAGCAGAAAATCAAGTTAATCATTTCTCTTTCTCAATTAATTGTCAAAACCTTGACTATTCAAGTTTATTGATTGTTGTAACATACGAATTATGTTGATTAACATAATCAACAAACAATTAAACAAAATGAAGCCTTGGAAATGAATGAGAGATGGGAACAGATGAATCAAGAACTGTTGACACAATTAAATTTAAACCAATTAACTTAAGAAGATGAATCAAGTTAATTGTGATGATTAACTTAATTCTGTGTTTATTGAACTTTTTTCAATTCAAATTAACGGAAAATTTTATTAAATTGTTTTCCTTTTTTTGATTGCTATTAATAGTTTATTGATCTGTTGATTTCCTAATTACAATCCGCTTAATTAGCTTAATTGTTTGGGTGTATGAAAATTACATTGGTAATTAATTGCTTGTCTAATTGTGAACCTTGATTTTTGTTCATTTCCGCAATTTTAATCACTAACAGTTGAATTATTGATTAAAAGTCAATCCTTTTCATTAATTGTGATTGTTTAATCATTTAATTGTTTCTGTTTTCAATATTGATTGTAATATTTAATGAATACAGTTAATTGAGCGTTGAAAGAAATTAACTTATTGATTTAATTGTAAAGTGAAAAAGTTGCAAAAAACAATCAATTGATTGTTGTTAATTTTTCAATCTCCTCTTGAACACAACGATTATTGATTAACTGAACACTTTTATCAAATTGATTGTTTATCTAATCAAAACAATTACCATGAGAAACAATCTAATCATTTTTACTTTTGATAGTTAATTGTTGTCAGAAAATGAATTAAATTAAAATGTTTCATCATAGAAATTGGTAAATAAGCAACATGAGACATTTGAATGATGAAATTAATTCAATTTCTCAATTAAGTTAATCACTTAGTCTTTAATTACTGCTGAAGTATTGATCGATCTACAAATCTACTGGTCAGTTGAATTGGTCAAGGAAAGACAAGTGAGAGCTGAAATCGAGTATTTAATTAGTGTACTGATCACATTTGAAGTTTAATTGTGGTAAAAAACCAGTGGAATTGTCGTAACTTCATCAACAATCAAATGTTTCTATTGATTAACAGAATTAGAGACACAATTTAGTTGATTGTCTAGCGAAAGTGAGCAAATGGTTCCTTCTAATTATCAGAATTTATCTCCATAGATAATTTTCTTCCAGGTTTGACAGTAAAAATATCGATCGTCGAACTTGGTTGAACCAATTTGTTTCGATGGATCGATTTCCAGTTGATGAGGTAAAATTTGTCCCGTCGATGCTTGGATAATATAAGGTGACCAGTCCAGTTTACCTTCGTGGACAAATTGTTTCCATATCGAGATGATTTGTTCAGTTTGTTTAACATCTTCTGGGGTCATTTTATTGCGAACCATCAAGGGAAAACCAAACACATAGACGAGGTCAAGTGCGTGTCGAGGTCCAAATTTATTGTTGAAAATTAATTGCGGCTCCATATCGCTGAAGGTTGGACTTGAATAAGTATATTCGAGGGTCCAGATCTTGTTTGTTTGGGAAGCTTTTTCGGCAAACCATATTGACGGACAACGGAAATAAAGGTCACCCAATGCTCGGACAATCGCTTTTGTGATTCAAATGAATTAGATTGATTCAGTAAACCGGAATAATAAGTTTCGTCTATTATGGCCGCTGCTTCGGCTGAGGTAAAATGCGTAATTGTCCCGTTGAGAATCTCTCGAAAATCTTGTGGTCCCTCGTACATTATATGCTGAAGTATTACTGAGCCTTCATCTTTCATGGAGGTCACTAGAATCGGAAATCCGGACGGAAATGAACCGGCCACTAGACGTTCATCTGCATGAGATTGTGAGAAATCACCTTTGTTTACAAGGCAAGAAGGTGTTGCTTGAATTTGATCGGATTCCGCTTCTTGGTCCATGTAAGCGGTCATCAAACTCTCGGGTGATACTGACCTGAGGCACGATAATACCTCAGGGTTTGATAGACTTTCGATTGTGTCATTAACAGTACAACCAACAACTTGGGCTAATTTAACTGTTCGAGATAGAGCAACATCGATTTTCTCATTTAGATTGGTACGAACGGCTCCACTTTGTAAGATCACCTGATGGAAAAGTGGTCGACTTTGAGGTCTCATAAAGTGTAATGAAACCGAAATTGATCCAGCAGATTCACCTGAAAGTGTCACCCTGTTTGGATCACCACCAAAGTATCTAATGTTATCTGAGATCCATTCAAGAGCAAGAGCTTGATCCTCCAAAGGTAAATTACCTGGTGCCTCATCTGAATTGGTGAATAGACAACCAAAAACACCAAGACGATATCTCATAGTGACCACAACAAAATCACCCAAAGCTGAAAGTATCTCACCATCAGCGATACGAGGGTCTCTCGAACCATCCAAAATAAAAGCACCACCGTGAATATAAACAAGAACGGGCTTCAAATTACTCGGGTCAAGATTAATCACCGGAGACCAGATCGTCAATGTTAAACAATCTTCCGTTTCGGTAACATTGAAAGGAGAATCGAGCTTTATAAACTTGACCGGCATCGAGTAGCACGCTTTTCCTTGTCGATTTGCTTTGAAAATCTCTTCAGATTTTCGAGTAATCGGAATGGGCCGACGGAAACGGTTCTCACCCACGGGAGGCTCTGCATAGGGAATATTATAAAACGCGTTCACTTTGACCCCTTGGACGGTTTTCTGAACACCCTTGATGGGACCAGTGGCTATTGTGACAATCGGATCAGCGCAATAAACATTGTGGAAACAAATGAGAGCACAAAATGTAACAATTAACGTGTTAATTATGATCATGGTTGCAGAGTAATTAATGAGCACACAAAGCAACTTGTTGGTAACATAAACCAAATAGACAATTAATCAATTGCTGCTCTTTTTCATCAGATTAACTTGATGTCCTTGCGATTAAGACAAGGTTTCTAAATTGTGGAAACTGGAAAGACGAGTAAATTAAATTAGACAGAAACAAAATAGAAGCAGAGATTAAATCAATTGTGACGCAATTAAAAGGAAATTGTAATAAAAAAAAGCTCAATTAGTTGACTACAGAAAAGAATTGGTTAACTGGTCACAATTAACCGATTCTCAGAATTTAATTATTGTTGTTTGTATGAGTTTGAAATTCAACTGTGGTTACAGTTGATTAGAAAATTGTTTCATCAGCAATTAGTTAATTTTTGAGTGTTAATAGTTTTTCAATTTCCTCTTGAACACATTGATCGTTAGCTAATTCAATACTTTTATCAAAGCGATTGTGTTGATTAGATAAACAATTAACATGAGAAATTGTCTCATCTTTATTACTATTGATCATTTGGTTGTTGATTGTTGTTGTTGTCGTCGGGAAATTAATTAAATCAAAATATTTAATCATGAAAATTGTGAATGGTATAGTTGATATGATGCTTAGAATGATAAAAATTAATCCAGGAAATTGTGATGAACTGTAATGATAAACTAAACTCGCTAATTGCGATCCAATTAAGAAGGTAAAATTTGATAATAGTCCAAGGAAAGCAAATGCTTTGCCCTTTTCATTTGTATCGACAGTTTTTGAGACGATTGACCTCAAAGAGGGTAAAGTTAATTCTGAAAAAATGAACCCAAAGGAAGATGCAAAAGTTGTAAAAGTTTCTTTGGTCAGTCCAAGGAAGATCAGACCAACAGTTCGAGAGGCGAATCCAAGAGTTGCCATGAGATCGTCGTTAATTAACTTGGGATAAACTCGTTGGACAGTTGGAACTAAAATGAGTAATGTAAACCCACCAATCAGATAATTAGCCGATTGTAAGTAACCATAAAGATCTGATGTCCATCTTAAAGGGTCATTTCGTAGGAAAACGTAAAGAATTGAAAATCTTGCATGGGAAATGAGATTTGCAAGGAAAATACAACTGACCACTGTGAGTAGCCATGTACGTTTAAAGGGTTGGTCAGGTCGAGGGTGAAATATTGTCCAGAAAACTGTTGCCATGTGAGATAATCTGAATAGTCCCTTGACCGTTGGCGAGTCTGTTGTTGATTTTGATTCCTTGAGGTAACAAAGTACATAGATAAATAAACTACTATGAATAAGGAGTAAAACTGTGAATCCAATGGACAGAGAGGAGGAAAATAGCTTGACCATTGTACTGCCCGTTGAGAAACCGATTGCACTTCCCAAGTAAAGCATTGATTGCATTGTGGTCATCGCTTTGGTCCTTTCTTGGACACTGGTTATATCAGCTGTGTACCCGAAACAGTTTGCAATTAGACTTGATGATGATCCAGAGATACCAGAGACTAATCCAGCCAAATAGATTAACCAAATTAAATTGTGATCAAGTGTAATCCAGAAAATTATGCAAAGACATTGAGCCAAAATGGAGGACAAAAGGGCAAACATTATCGGTAATCGTCTTCCATAATAATCTGACCAAGAGCCGGTGAACAGAGTGGCCAGTGAACAGCAAATGGACAGGAAAAAGTTGTAATTTCTCATTGAAATTGTCACATCGTCTTTGATTAGAGCTGAAACATTGGGAGATTTTGGTGACTCACAAATGGATGGGTCAGTTAGATTGGTCAATGAAAGACAATGGGACGTTGAAACTGAATATTGAATCAAAGTGTATTCACAGTTAATTGCTGCAATAAAGAGTAAAATCAAAGGCTCAACGCTTATTGAGAAATTGATCATTTTTAATCAAATTTAATTACCAACAAGATAAACAGATTTATCATCCTACTAATTTAATAAAGAAACAAATTTTCCTGGTTAATTGTCAATTAGAAACGCTGAGAACCATTGTAACAATCAAAATAGATTCAAAGTTAATTCATAGTTAACTTTTTATTGTGACTTGAAAAATTAACTGTCACAATTAAGTCAACACAATGATTAATGTTCAAGTAATTTGTTCATTGATTAATATTGATAATTACTCTGATTATCATCACTTATTTTACTTATTTGTTTTAAATCAATCAATCAACCACCTCCCCCAATGTGATTTAATTTAATTACCGTAATCAAAGGGGTTTAGTTTTAATCAGACACTTAAGATGATTTAATTTTCCGTTATCATTACAATTAATTTGCACTGACAATTAAGATGCACTGATAATAATGTGCGTTACAATTTAAAAGTTTCGGTTTCCATGGTTATTTAATTGTAATTACACTTGAAACCAGTTAGTTATTTATAACAATTAACTCAATTTCTCAGCTTGACCCAAGCTACAATTCACACTTATCTTCAACTCGACTGGTCAGTTAAACTTCAGGTAAACTCCGCCTTAATTTCAATCACCTGGTTAAACTTTTTTTGCTTCAACTTAAATTAGTTTGATGAAAGTTCAATTCTGTTAAATATGATTAATATTCATGTGTAACAATTACAACAATTAACCAATTGATTTATTAACCTAAGGCCTAAGATCTTAATCATTACTTTTCAAGGTAATTCATCAAACAATCAACTAATCAACAGGAAATCAATAAAAACAAAACTTTTACCAAACAGTTTAAGTAACATTATTAAAGTGAAACATTTACTAATCATCTTTTAATTGTTGTAAGTTTCCTGTTTTAATTGTGTGTGTGATTTATTGTTACTATTGTTAATCATCAAGTTCCACTAATAATAATAATTGATAATCTACATTTTCTTAATCATCATAATAATCTCATTGATAAAGAGTCAGTTTTGTTTCTTCAAGAGTTTTCATTGTTTTCACAATTGAATTAAATTAATCTTCTGGTTAATTACAATTAGTTAATCATAATAATTATAATTAACATCATCATCATCTTGGTAGATGAAGAAATTGATAATTGTCTTTATTTTTTTTTCTCAGTCTCTTAACTTTATCAACTAATCTGGATGAACAATAAGTAAATGACTTTCTTGGGTTAAGTGATTCTCAATTTGATTTAAATTGTTTTCCAACAACAAACTGATCATATTGTCAAACTCTAATCATCCACCAAACAATCAACTAATTGTGTTCATTATTAGAATATCAATTCTATCAGCAAAATGGTTAACTCAATCTTCAAGTTTTCTCCAAGAAATTCTTATATCTTTTCATCAGAATCATCAAAAAGTTCATCTTACTCTGAGTTCCCATCTTCTTGTTTCTCTCACGCAAATCGGTCATCATCTTCATCTTCATCATCATCATCATCATCATCATGTTTCTCTTACAATTTATATATTAATTCATTAATTTTGTTACTATTAATCAATTGCTGGTCGATTGCTGATGGATTAAGATTCCGCCGGTTAACAAGTATCCCCGAGATTTGTGCCAATGTGAACGGATTAACTGAAGACCAGCTAATCGCTTGTCGTGAACAATCACAGGCAGTTCTTGGAGTGTCCGAGGGGACACGTAAGGGAATCACCGAGTGTCAACAACAATTCAAACACGAACGTTGGAATTGTACTCCCGACGCAAACGGCAACATGTTCAACAAAATACTCCAACGAGGTAAGACAATCAAAGCTTGAGATGAACAAAAATAAAGAAGCAAAAGAAAAATAGTCCAAAACAATCAACTAATCAGTGAAACACGATAATCAAGCTTATTGTAAACAGAGCAATTTAATCATCAACAGTATCATTATTATCATGATTATCTTTCAAATCAATTGCAAGAGAGATACAAGTAGTGATGGCGATCATTTTAATGGGCTACTTATCAAGAAAACTGGCCTTTGAAAGGTCAATGATCAATTTGTTTCAATTCTTTATGGAGCTTGAAAGTTATTACAACAATTGAAGTTCGGGAAATAAGTTTGAGGTCACTTTTTGTAATCATAATCATGATAATCTTCCCAATTGAATTGAAACCCCAGCGAAAAGGATGTAAATCATTTACTCGACCTAAATAATAATACGAATCTTCAATTTCTTTCTATTAATATTTCTCATCATCTTAATCAACCATTTACATTAATCACTGATCCTCATCTTAACTATTCAATGATTATCCTCATCACTTATTTCTGATGTAATAATTTATTCACTTTATTGTCTTTGTTAATCTTATTATTCACAATTCAAGTATTTCCAGTATCTCGTTGATCAAATTTAACTTAATTGTCAATTGATTGTTGACTTTTCTTATTGTTTTCCCTATTGTTTTACTCAACTAATTAATCAATCAACTCATCAACATGACTAATCATCAAACCACTAATAGTAACAATTCAGTTTATTATTTTATATTTACACCTTAATTGTTGTATTGTTATTGTAAATAATTTTCTTAAACAAAAGAAAGTTGTTATCACCAATTACAACAATTAAAAAGTTACAATAAGAAGCAATTAACTTGATGTGATTATTATATTAAGACAATAGTGACTATTAGGCAGATCTTGCAAATCTTAATCAAATTATTATCTTGTTAATCAAGAGTTAATTGTTAAAACTAATCAACAGTTTCTATTAGAGTGTAACAGTTGATCACATAGTCCATTCGTCTTAATTGTTTTCTGAGCTGATTGTTGGTTTCAAGTAACCAATTAATTGTTCTTCAAATGATTGACAATTAGTGTCATCTGTATTGATCAAAGTTTTCCTTTAATTGTTACAGGGAGTCAAGAAACTGCGTTTTTTTATGCAATCACGAGCTCTGGGGTGGTTCATACATTGAGTAAATCCTGTGCCAGTGGGAATATAACTGATTGCGCTTGCAGTAGGCGGATGGAGGGCACCGGCGGGTGGGAATGGGGTGGCTGCTCTGATAACATTGAATATGCAATGAGTTTCGCTAAGAAATTTGTTGATTCACCGGAAGAGCAAGTCCTCAAACGGAAACCAAATGACCCAGAGGCAATAATGAATCTGCACAATAATCAAGCCGGAAGATTGGTAATTAAACTTGAACCAATTCAAATGTAACGATAATAGTGTTTGATTCAATTTCTAATTCACTTTCTAATTTAACCTTAGGCTGTTTACCGTAAAATGGTAACAAAATGTCGATGCCATGGTATTTCTGGTTCTTGTGAGGTGAAAACATGTTGGCGAGTTTTACCCAAATTCTCAGAAATTGGAAATGACCTGAAACAAAAGTACGAGAAATCTGTGCGAATGAAGCGACACACAAAGCGACGTAAAGGTCGTAAAGTTGAACAATCGGTAAACGAAGATGATTTAGTTTATATTCGTAAATCTCCCAATTATTGTAACAACGATGCTCGATTGGGTATTTTGGGAACTTCGGGTCGAGTTTGTAATAAGACCTCAAACGGGCCCGATTCGTGTGAACACTTATGCTGTGGAAGAGGTTATAACATCCAAAGGGTACTAAAAGAAGGTCTCTGTAACTGCCGATTCCGTTGGTGTTGTGAGGTCATTTGTGAACAATGTCAACCCAAAGAAGATTATATTTATACCTGCAAGTAAAGTTTACCTGAGTATCTAGATGGCAACAGATTATTCTGACTTGTAAGTTACATTTTCTTACCCTAAGAAGACAATTAACTAATCAATGGAAAACATTTCCTACTTTCCAGAATTTATTATCACGGATTAATGTTCAAATGGAACAGGATTCCCAATCGATTAGAACCAAAGCAAAACGAAAATCAATCAATTGACTCAATAATGGTTATCGATTTCGTCCTTTCCTGGACACTGGTAATATCCGAACTGTACTCAAAACAATTAAACGACACGATGATTGAGAGATACCCGATATCAGGATCAATTGTTACCTGTACACAACGACAGGTAAACGCTGTATATTAAAGGATCATCATATTAACTTATCTACTAGTATTTAATGCAAAGACTTGTACAAATTAAAACTTAATTATTCAGTTGAAATCATGGAAATACAATCAACTGGATTGAATCAATTTAATAATAAAAATTATTTTCGTTATTTGATTTGATCAAATTGAGACGAAATTGTATCATAATTGAATTAGTGGTCTAATTAAGGAGGAGTAAAAGTGATCATCTGAATGATTGTAGTTCGGTCTGGTTGATTTAATTTAATTGTCTTCGATTGTACCTTTTTCTAGGAAATTGTGAGTTAATCAATTGTTACTCGGTGCTGTAAATTGTCAGCTAATTGTCAAGTTCTCAACTCAATCGATAAAGATTCTGTCAATGATTTATTGGAAACTCTGAGCTAAATAAAACTTATCAAGAATCAGAATTGATTATTTACCATATTTACCAATGTTCAATTACTTTTGATTAACTTTCTTACCTGAGAACTACAAGATTTGTTTCACTATTAAATGATCAATTTCTTAATGAGAGTTGAATCTTTAATTTTACTCTTTATTGCTGCAATTAACTGTGAATGTACATTAATTCAATTTCGTATTGTCTTTCATTGACCAATTTAACTAACCCATCGATTTGTGAATCATTATGACAGCAAAAAGTTTTAAATTGCAATAATAAAAATTTAATCCCCTTTAAGTATCTGATTAAACCTAAACCCTAGTCGATTAGCGCAATTAAATAACAATTAGGTTAAGCTCAAAGTTAAGATTAGAAAACAAATAAAGGGTTATTTTCATATATTTAAAAAGGGAGATTACAATTAGACTAATTTTACCTAAGATTAAGTGAAGATTAAGGTGTAATTGTAAACAGAGATACAACCAAAAGGATTTATCATTTCTTCATCATCTCATCAACGTTTATCCAATTTCCATCTTAATTTTCATTTAATCCTTGAAAAGATCCCATTTTGTAAACTCCTTTTAATGTGAAATTAACCAAACGCCCTTTAAATTAATAAAATTCAGCTCATTGAGTATAATAATCATTGAATTTATGGTAGTGATCAGTTGAATCGTCATCAGTTAAGTGGTGGTCCTTGTTTTAATTGTTGCATCCGCTTGGTTTAGTTGCAGGGAAAGAATCACAAAGAAGACCTTTAAGATCATTAAGAGCTCGATCTTGAATTGTTTGAGTACGTTGATTGTTAACACTAAAAGTTGGAATGAAAGAAACTGATGGTTTTAAAGCTTTGGTAGCAACTCCAGCGGCCTTGAGCAATTGAGCGCCTTCATTGCCTTTGGAACAGGTATCGATTGCAGTGTAGTTAAAACCACCTTGTTGGGCACACTGGATGAATTAGAGGGAAAAGTTGATTAGTAACATGATCAGAGTAATTGTATATTATTAGTTGACTTACTGATGGTCCAGCTTTGTCAGGGGATCGAGCGCTTTCCATACAGTAGACAAACTTGACTAAAGTTGCGACATCGAGTTGACTTTTGGCACAGTTTTGAATGGTGTTACCTTTACACTCACGTTCACCATGTTGACAGGTAAATACAAGTGATGATCCACTTTCAGTCCAAGATGCTTTTCCAAAAGGTACCAAGTTGAGGTCAATGTTTTCAATACCAAGAGACTGGACAGTTGGATACAATTGGTAATTAATAAAGGCTATTGAATCTGGACACAAGGTTTCATAGTAAACTCCAAGAGAGACTTTGTTAGCTGATTGACCATCGACCTGAATAATAAATAAATTGATGAAACGATTAAACAATTACAATCGCAGACAATTGAATTTAATTACTAAACTTACCTTAAGTGAAAGAGCAGCGAGTAAAAAGACAACAGTAAACAACATTTTCAGACGATTTGTTGTTGGTTTTCAAAGGGAAATTAACTTGGATAATAATTGATTAACAACAACACTTCCCTTATATAGTAGATGGCAAACTAATCCTTCTAATTAACAACAATTAAAAGATAATCACAGTAACTCCTATAAATGTACTCAGTTTGTTTTGATTGTTTGATCAAAGAAATGAAGAAACTTGAAATTGAAAGGAAAATGTGAGTTGCAAACAAACGACACGAGGGTCGCCACTTCTGTTTTCTCTTTCTTTTCAACTTCAAATCTCTTTCTTTTTGATTGCCTTTCTCTTTCTTTTTCTCTTTCTTTTCAAGTGAAAAATTGATCAACTTTAATTATTATGATATTATCATTTCGTTTTGTTTATTTCGCTTTGATTTTGATTGATTTTCGTAAAAAATTATTGAAATGATCTGCTAAGTTCTGGTTCTTAGAGAATTAATTGTTTATTCTTATTCTAAAACAAGTTCGAAGCTGAAACATCGTTGAGTTGTTCGTAGATCTTTTTAGATCTTCATTTATTGGATCTTGTTTTTCTCGTGCGAAATTTTTTGAGAGCAACTGTCGATTTCTGAATAATATTCAGCGTCTGTACCATGTAGTTGGTTTGAATGATAAATAATTCTCTCTCTCTCTCTCTCTCTCTCTCTTTCATTGTTTACTTGTTATTCATTTGCTTGAGTCTCCATCTATTGATTGGCCGTTCGAGGAAAACGAATGGCGATTCAAAGTAATTAGTCCATTTTTCTTAATTAGATTGTGAATTCATTGATTGACAATAGAAACTGAAAAAAATGGGAAATTATTCTTTGAAAGTTGTTTTTGTATGACTGAGAAACGATAAATAAAAATCATTAAGATAATCAGAGATTACAAATTGTAATTTACAATTAACAATAACAATTAAAATACACTGATAATGTTTCGAGGTGAGCAAATGATTTAAATGAAAAAAGTGTTATATTAATTACTTTGCATCTATACCAGTAAACAATTAACAATAAAATTAATTAGATAATCAATTAACTATTGAATAACAATTGAATAATTGATTATTGTTATTGGCACAATAGTTAATCATTTGGTTTAAGCTGATACTTGTTTTTGTGTTAATTTAGTTATTCCAGCAGCCAATGAATCAATTCCCTGTTGGTCAGTTTGTCTTGTTGAGCTTTCACCTTGACCATTGAAATTTTCATCATCACCTTGATCATCTTTCTTGATTTGTTGATTGTCATTATCAGAGATGATTGAAGGAGAAAAGAATTGATTGTAAAATATAAATTTGATCAAAAATACTGTGACTGGGATTATCTCCAAACATCCAAGGATAATCAACACTAATCCAGGGAAAAAGGATGAAGTTTTGTAATAGATTAAACTTGATATTTGTGATCCAAGTAAGAAGGTGACATTTGATAATAGTCCAAGGAAAGCAAATGCTTTACCTTTTTCATCGGCATCCACGATCTTGGAAACAATTGACCTCAGCGAGGGTAAAGTTAACTCTGAAAATATAAATCCTAAAGGTGTAAGGAAAGCATGAAGTGATGAATGAGCTAATCCAATTGCAATTAAACCAACAGCTCGAGATGTAAATCCCATTAAAGCAAAAAGATCATCGTTCACAAGACGAGGGATAAATTTCTGTACCAATGGTACCATAATTAACAGAGTGCATCCTCCTAGAAGATAATTGATTGATTGTAAGTAACCATACAAATCGGATGTCCAGTTTAACGGTTTGTTTCGTAGGAAAACATAAAGAATGGACGACATTGAATTAGAACCAAAAGTCGCGATGAAGGCACATCCTATGATTGAGAGAAGCCAGAAACGCTTATAAGGGGTCGATCGACGATGGGTAATGGTCCAAATGACGCTGGTTATATGAGACAATCTAAATAATCCTCTGGGTGTTATTGGTTCGATTGTGGATTTTGATTCTCTCAGGTAGCAAAAGACGTAAATGAATAGACATGAATGAAGCATGAAAAGAATAGCGAATCCTTTTTCCAAAGAAGGTGAAAAGATTTTCAACATTAAACTTCCGGTTGAAAAGCCAATAGCACCGCCGAGGTATAACATGGCCTCCATAGCGGACATGGCCTTAGATCGATCTTTAATACTGGTTATATCAGCTGTGTACCCGAAACAGTTTGCAATTAGACTTGATGATGATCCAGAGATACCAGAGACTAATCCAGCCAAATAGATTAACCAAATTAAATTGTGATCAAGTGTAATCCAGAAAATTATGCAAAGACATTGAGCCAAAATGGAGGACAAAAGGGCAAACATTATCGGTAATCGTCTTCCATAATAATCTGACCAAGAGCCGGTGAACAGAGTGGCCAGTGAACAGCAAATGGACAGGAAAAAGTTGTAATTTCTCATTGAAATTGTCACATCGTCTTTGATTAGAGCTGAAACATTGGGAGATTTTGGTGACTCACAAATGGATGGGTCAGTTAGATTGGTCAATGAAAGACAATGGGACGTTGAAACTGAATATTGAATCAAAGTGTATTCACAGTTAATTGCTGCTAAATAAAGCAGAATCAAAGGTTCAACAGTGAGTGAAAAATTGATCATTGTGATCAACTAACAGCTGAGATGAAATAGAACCAAAATATTACCAAAATCCAATAAAATGGTAACAAAATCACAAAGTACAATCGACGTCTCTCCGCTTACAACGTGATTGTAGCGGGGGAAAAATGATATTAACAATCAACACTTAAGGTTAACAATTAGATAAATATAAATGGAGTAATCAATTGTGAATCAAATCCAGAAATGTATATAACTCTACACGGTGAGCTATTTATATCTACGATTTTCGAGCAAAGGAAAAGTTCATTGAGTTTAAATCTAATTTTTTGTTTCTTCGCTTCCATAATCAAGCTATCATGTATTCCAGTTACATGATCATCCTCATTTTTATCACAATTTAAATCGCCCTCGATGCTTTTACCACCAGAAATATGATTCCTTGATTATGATTCTATTGATATTCTGTAGAGATAAAGAAATCATGAGAATAGATTAGTAATTATATCGCAGGAAAATCAAATTGATCACTAGGTGGGTTCGTGAGTTTTTGATTCTGTTTGTTCAAAAGTGATTAACAAATTGTTTGAGAGTAAACTTTATAAAATCAGAGTTAGAAAGTTTAATCTTTCATATTCAATTTGAATCACATATCGAATCACTTTTAATCATTGTTGGTGATTAGTCTTACCTTTGGTACTCACTTTTAATTGCTACAATATTGAAATGAAAGCGTTAACACAATTTGATATTTTTCACCACCAAGTTGAGGATAAACAATGTAACTACAATTAATCGAGTTAATTAACTTTCTACTAGTTTTATCTAAAACTAAATGATTAGATTAACTATTGACATGTTGAGACAAATGTTAATTACTATCAATAGTCAATCAGTTTTGAGTATCTCTTGATAATCAGTTCAAGTGATGACTTTATCTTTTATGCTTAAAATGGTATTGAATTAATTTGAAACAGTTAAATTACTGATCAATATCAGGAATTGGTGAAAATTTCATCCTTAGCCAATTAGCAAATAAATAATCAAATTTACAATCAACTTTGAATGGAAGAGATGAAAATTCAGTTCCACTTGGTATTCACCTAGAGAGAGAGACAATCATCCACCGATTCCAATGTGCAACAGTACTGAAAACAAGGTTAACCCTGAAATCTGTGATAGAGATAAAATAAATCATTAGCATTAATTAAACTCAAGATAATCAGAATTGTTCAGTAATCATATTAATCAAAAGGATTAACAGTTGGAGCGAAACAAAAAGTATTGTAAAGACAAAGAAACTACAAAGAGACATACGAATACAAACCTTTGGGTAGAGTGACTAGCTATCCATCTTTAAATTGGAGAAAAAATTAAATCACTTAATTAATTATGTAATTAGATTTCCATAAAATTGTAACAATCAAATTAAAAAAAATAATCAAAAAGTAAACAATAGAAAAAAATCGATTTTTAATAATCGATTGTTCTAAAAGCGCCAAATTTAAATAGAGAATAAATTTCTAATTTAGATTAAGATTGAAATGATTAACCGAAAATTTTTTCACAATTAAGAATTAAAAATTGTTACTAAAGATGGAAATAAACACAATTAATTAGATCTTGTGTTTAATAGGATAATTAAGTGAAAATCTGTCCAATTTTAAACAGAAATCAATGGTTCATTAACAAAAGTTTATTTGTTGTTGTTTGTTGATTGCTGATTGTTAACAATTAATTGATAACAATGAAATTTGTAAGTGAGAAGGTGAATTGAAGTTAATTGATTGATAATAATCAAGGTTTTAATTTGTAATTGGAAAAGTCTTTGGTCATCAATCCCTTGATAATTGAATTAATCCTCGAAAGAAAAATTGATTCCAATGATCATCCAAGTTAATTTACCTTGGAGATAAAGATCCTTAATCAGTAGTAATTAAATTTGGTTGTGTGTTGGTAATGGTAATGATTAATAATAAAGAATGAAAGTTTTCCCTTTACAGACAATCAAAAGAAATTTACAACAATTTAAATTGTTAGACCTTGATTAACAAACTAGACATCAACTGTTTCCTTGCAAAGTTTACCTTGAATTTACTTGATTTCCGTGTTCGTCATCATGATCATCATGATGGTTAACAATTTGATTAACATGATCATCTTTCACTGAAACAATAATAATCAAACAATCAATTAACACACTAACAATTAACCATTGAAAATTGAAAAAGCAAAAAAAAAACAAACTCCAATAAATTAATGATCAACTAATCAAATTAATCAACAATACGAGATGTTTGATTAATAACTAGACACAATTAGATATTTTTACGAACACAATTAATGAGCACAATCAGTTAATAGTTTAATAAGTAAATTGATTAAAAGTAATGAGTAATTCACTTGACCTAATAAACAAAAAAATAAATCTAAATTGTTGTTAGTTAAATGATTTAAATATATTGATAAACTAAATTTTATTTTCTCTCTTCTCTTTACATCTTAATTACAGTTAATTGGTTAAAATGATTAACACAATTAGAGGGATTTAATGAAATTAAATGTATAAATAAAATATTACGAATAACTAAATGATCACAAAAGAGGAGATTAATTTGATTAATTTAGTCAACAATTAAAACGAAATGGTTACAACGAAAAGTTAACAAACAATAACATTGAAATGTAAACAAAGATGACGACATAAAACAATTCTTATCATCCTCATCCTCATCATCTTCTCTCTCTCTCTCTCTTTCTCTCTCTTTGTCGATTTATCATCATCAGTCTCTTCATCATCCCTTTTTCATCCTTCGATCTCATTTCACACGCTTAATTTAGATTCAAGTTGATTATGATGATCAAGATGATGAGGCCTTCAGATGATGATGAGTTGTAACCTCACGGAATTGAAATCATTTTTAGATGATGATGATGAGGATGATGAAAGGATGAGGATGAGGAAGAGAAGTTACCTTTTATATTGTTCGATTATAATCAGAAAATAGATTAAGTGATTTATCCTAAAAAATTGGAGTCACAATTTGTATTAAAAGTGGAAAAGGATCATCAAAATTGATCCCTTTTCTTATATACGATTTTGATCATCAGGTGGAGGTGGAGGTGGATCAGGATGAAGATGAGGATGATAAAGATCGGCAGCATTTAGGTAAGTTGATTAAGGCCACTTTGGGCGTTGATTAAAGTCCAGAAACAGAATTAACTCAATCAACAGAACGGTCATGACCTAACATTTTCATTCGCAATTTGTTAATTTCTCATTCGCTCATTTATATTATCATTCACTATTATCTCCCACTTATTATTACGATAATTTTTTTGGTAACTTCCTTACTCTCAATTATTATTATTGTTTGATCTAAATTGTTTGGTTTGTTGATTGTTGATTGTTGATTGTTGCCAAACGGTCAGTTAACCACCACCACCACCAGTAGATACAATTGACCTTCCCAATTTTGACGCGTTTTCAATTTTTCACATTTTTTTGGTTAATTTCATTTTCTTGTATTTGTTTCATTAACTTTTGTTTATTAATCATAATTAGGACACAATCGTCAATGAGTTAACAATTAATTGTTGACCACGAAAATTAATTTTCTACTTTTAATTAGTTTGGTCTGTTACTACAAGTTAACAGTTGGTTAATTTGATTGATTGATTGGTTGATTGTGTTTATTTTTTATTATTACCTTTTTTTTAGTAGATATTAATTGTCAAAATTTTTACTCTTACAATCAGCTAGTGGTCAGTTTATTATTATTATTATTTTTCATTGATTGTAATTGTTAGTTTTGGGTTAATTGGTCACTGTTGGATTCTGTTAATCAACAGAACGTGGTGTAAGTGATTAACGATTGTAACGAGGTCTTTAACGAGAGGAATCAATGTTAATTAGTTAACGAAATGTAATCAAGGTTTTCATCAGGTCCTTCGGTAAACTTTACCTTCCTTGATTATTGTTAATTGTTCACATTTAAATAAAGTATATTGTGTGTTAATTTAGATTTTATTATTGATTCTATTTTCACAATTAACCGATTAATTTATCATCTCCGTTAATTTTCCTCACGCTATTAAATTAACTGATTAATTTAATAGAATGAAAAACAAAACAAAAACGATCATCGAATCACAATAAACCTTGATTGTCGCTAATTCATTCCTCTCTATTTCTTACCTTTAATTGTCTTCTTTTGGTGGATTAATTGTTACCACAAGTCTATCCAATGTCTTCTTCCAATTGTTCAAACAATTAAAGTTGATTCAATGAGAAAACATTGAGAGGGAATTAAGATATTCATCTATTAATAATAAACACGATTCCATTATTATCATTCTGATTGCCGAATTGTTTTCTATATAATTGTGAGGCCTTTTCTCTTGCTCTCTCCAACTTTTTTAAGGCCTTTTCAATTGAATACAGTTTGCAACAATTAAATCCTTCTGGTTGACCTGTTCTCACTTAATTCTGGGTAACCCGGTAACCGTCTAAATGTTTGAACTAAAATTTAAATTGTTATCAACCATTAGAATGAATTGAAGAAGCAAAAAGAAACACGTTGAGAAATAATGATGATTATGGTGATGAAGAAGATGATTAAATGGCCTCGATAATTAGAGTTTGTATATATATATATATGTGAACAGGTTCAAGAGAGAAAGTAACAATCCGTTAACAATTAATAAATCAACAGTTAATCAGTGATAAGAAAAAACTGTAAAAGAAAAACAATCAATAATCAATAAGAGAAGAAAAAAAAATTAATTGATTAACAGATGAAAACAATTATCTTACCATCATAAGAACCATCGATTGACTCTTAAGAACATAATTAGAAACATTAAAATGAACAACAATTAACACAAAAAGAAACAAATTAATTAGGTGACAATTTAATTGTAACAATTTAATTGAATCAAATCAACTCTGGTTTCTGGTTTTCCATCAGCTGTTCACCCAAAGAGGCGCTTTTTTCAATTCGGTTAACCCATTGAACTTTTTTTTTCACTCGAAATCAGATGAATATTAATTGTTTCATCTTCTTAGCAATTAAATTGTAATTTAGTTGATCTGTTGATTTGATTCTCGATAAAAATAAACTTGTTTACCTTTGGTTTGCAGGTAAAAAGTTTTAATTTTGTCACCAACAAAAAAAGAAACGGTTACAATTGAAATGGTAACAATACTTGAGGTCAGACAATCAATTGAGAAAAAAGGACAACCTAACCTTTGACCTGAATGTTTATTATTATATTCACAATAAGAGAGTAAATTTGACCTCAAGGGTACGTTTAATTGTTGACAAATTCTCAACGATTCAAAATCAATGGGCAACGATCAAAGTCAATGGGATTTTCTTTACAAACAATTAACATGTTTCGATTTGATATTTAGAGCGTTAATTGTAATCAACTAATTCAGTTCTTTTCTCTCTCCAACCTTTTTCTGTTTATAGATTATATCAACCACAACATGTATCATCATCTTCATCATCTTCCTCATCACCATTAACAATTACCACATAATAGAGATGATTATTGTAGATTTGGAACATTTTTCCAACCTCTTGGTTAACTCATCAATCTCAATTTTTAGGTTAATCTTGTAAACCAGTTTTTCTTTGCTGTTTTATTATTTCATGTTTCATGGATTCAACAAATTAATTAATTGTTATCAACTCTAAATACTCTTGTAGCAAAGTGATTACTGATCATGGTAATTAAATGGCAAAATCCATCAATAAACAAACATATTGAAAGGTAATAACTTTTCACCAGGAAATCAATAGGTAAACAATATTATCCATGAAAAAGATACATTATTTTTCACTTGCAGACACAATTTGAGATTCTGTGTGTTTAGTTTTACCATTTAATCAACATTATCGTTTATCGTTTATCGTCATCATTGGGAATTTTTAAATTAAATAAATAATGTGCAATTCAACAATACAAAAGAGATACAATAGTGAGAGATAGAGAGATACAAGGTTATCATCATTCATCTTCTTACCTTTTTTCAAACTACGTTTCTTTTTCCTATTCTTCATGGATACAAGAGTATTGATTCTGCCTATGGATTCATAGGAACATGGAACCAGAAAGTAAAGGGTCAGGGTCACAGATGATAATGTGTTCCAACTAACTTCCAACTACTTTTTGCTAAATATAACGAAATGCATAGAAAGAAGGAGAGAGAGTCGAGTACAAGGTCGAAAGGGAGGTTAAGGGTGGGAGGAAGATGGAAGAGAAAGAGGAGGAGGAGGAGGAGAGAGAGAGAGAGATGAGGAAGGAAGGAAGGAAGAGAAGTACAAAGTTCTGAGTATTATGATGATTAGAAAAAGAATTGTACTAAACATGTGACGAAAATGAGAAGATGATATTGACAAAATGGAGTCTATGTGTTGCTTGGAACTGCTTCTTCTTTATCGATCATCATCATAGGGATGAAGAGAAGAAGAGAAAAGACCTTGACCTTTACAAAATCAACATGAAGATAATGTAACATTTGCTGCGTAGGTAAAAAAAGGTAACCTCCAAAATGAATTTTTCAGGTTTCAGAATCAGAATCAAGGAGATGATCAAGAAAGAAGATGGAAATTTGTTCTCTTGGGAGGAGGTTGAAGTATCTTTTCGTTTGGGGAGGATGAGAGAGAGAGAGAGAGAGAGAGGAATAGGTGAGGATGAGAAAGAAGATGAAAGGTTGAGATGTCAATAGAAAATAGAAAAGAAGAGAAAGAACAGCTCATTTCCCACGAACTTATAACAAACGAACAAAAGTGGCCTCGAATAGACTTAGACTCGTCTTGTTCGAGGTCGATTCAAGGTAGACTTGACTTGATCATCAAGGAGGAGAGAGAGAGAGAGAGGAAAATCTCTATGGGATAATAACCTGTCGTCCATGGCGGTGGATCCAATGTTAGAGCCTCAAGGATCTAAGTCTAATTGTGACTATTTACTTAACGATCATCATTATCACTTCTAATGAGTAAACAATTAGTTTCACTTTGTAAACAATTAAGGTGAATATATGTTGATCTAAAGTCACCATGAGGTAATCATTAACCTGGAAAAGTGTGAAAGTTACATTTTTAATTATTAATGATGAAACTTGAATTCAATTCCGATTGGTGATAGATGAAGATGATGATGTGTGAAAAAGAGACGAAATTAATTGTTGCCAGAATGTTGATTAAGTTTTGCTGAAGCCAAGAAAATCAACTAATTCCAATAATTTTCTCTCTCTTTCTTCATCTCCCTTAGCAATTGCTAATTAATCACAGTTAATTTTAAATTATCATCATGTTTGTCTCATGTATTACTAATCAACTCAAGTGATAATTGCAATTAACCAATGTAAAAGTGTAAAAATAAAATCCAGACAAACTGATTAATGCAAAAATCTTAATCATAAATGATTATGATCAAGGTTTTAAGAATCAAGTTCAATGAATCAACAATTTAAAAAATTTCATCTTCTTCTTGATAACAGGTTGATAAATAGTAGAATCAACTTTATAATTGCTAAATAATAGTAACAATTTACTAATTGTAACAAACACAAAAATTCTTAATGAGTTAATTAAACTTGGATGGGAACAATTAATACATCAATATAATAACCAATCAATATTATCGACATGAAAAAAGGGATCGAGAATGAGGAGAAAGTGATTTAATATTATAAACTTTTGATTGGAAAAAAAAGTTTTAATTGTCAATCAGAATTTTGATTAGAGTAATTTTTGAAAATTTGATCAACTGTTTAAGTTAATCATTGTTTTTTTTTGATCAATATTTTGGTGACAATGTTCATGTTAAATTGTCATCTTATTGGTAACCATTTAAAGATCAATACATGAGCCATATGGATGATGTGATGAATGGGAGGATAATATAAGTGACTGGAGAGACGTTGCCTCAGGGGTAATAACAAGGGATGAGGATTGATGATCAGGATGATAAGGGGGATGGAAAAGGAGAAAGGTAACAAAAAGGTAAAGTACTTGGGGGTAGAAACAAAGTGATCGGCAAACGACAAGCACCAAGAAACTGGAAGGGTCGATAACCATCACCCCGAAAAAAAAGGTAATCACTTTTATCGTTATCGCAAACATGGTCATCCCAAAGTCTATGTGGACGATACACAAGCTTCATCTTCATCTTCTCTCTCATCATCTTCATCCTCATCCTCATCATCTTACATCTTGTTAGCTTCTTTTCTTCTCAACTTTCTTTTCATCTTCATCCACTATTATTTACAATCTTCTTACTTATCCAAAAGGTCACCTTGAGATCACACAGAGGGAGAAAGAGGGGAAAATGATGAGATGACCGGTTGATGACCGAAGAGTAAAAACTAGTAGAAAAAAAGTTCACCAGTGGTTCTAATACTGACCCAGGGGTTAGAGGTCAGTTGTATGGTAAAAATGGAAAGTAAATGAAATGGGAAAAGCAAAATTCAAATTCAATTTAAATGCAAATCTATTGTTACCATTATCGAATTGAAATTTCAATTGATATCGCAATTAAAACGTAAACCTAATCCTTAATTGCGTTTCACTTTTATTATTTAATAAATAGTTAAATCTATTAATTGTAGAGGTAATTAATCTCATTTACTTACCTGTAGTTAATATTTAACTTTTAATCATGATTAACTTTTTTGGTTTAATGTAATGAGATATACTCTTACAATTTGAATTAACTTAATCATTACTTTACTATTTACTAAATTGTTGATATAAAATTTCACTAGAAAATTTTAATTGCAACAATTTGGTAGAGAATTAAAATTGACATCAAATGATATAGTAATTAAATTAAGTTGAACAATTTAAGTTAATCGTTTCGTCATTCAAATAATAGAAATCAATTGAAATCATTTGTTTCTGTTTCTCAAACAATCAGTTAATCATTGAGTTTCAAATCTGTTGTTTAAATCAATTGCCCGACAATAAATCAAGTAAAAAAAAACATCAAGTTAATTGTAATCATCATCATATATTAATGATATAAGTCTGAAACATCAACAGCAATCAAATTAAATTGTTATTGAGGTTTAGGTAATTGGATTTCAAGTAAATTGAAAACAAAATGGAATCAAGTAAAGTAATTGAAATAATCACAGAGATGAATTCATGATGATCATGATGATGAGACCATGAGGAGGTGGATGATGATAAAGATGATAAGGAAGATGAGAATATATAAATTTCGAGTGAAGTAAAAATATCGATTTTTACATTTATATACTTTTCCATTGTGAATTGTCCTTGATTATCTAATAACCTGGAAATGTTATCATCCTCATCATCTTCATCCTGATCATCTTAATCATCTTTCCAAGTCGAGGTCTTGATCTCATTTTCACGCTTTAATGTATAACTAATTGTATGGTTTAAATCAAATTGACATTAATGATCAAACTCTCACAGTTAAGGTTAGTCTGCGGTCGAAGGATATTTTCATCATCATCATCATCTTCATCTTCATCATCTTGTAAACAGAGACCACCAATGAGTATTTGCTGATTGCAGGTAAAAGAAGAAGAGGAAAAAAAACTATATCATTAAGTTTAATTGTGAACAATTTAAATTGCAATCAGACAATTCAAGCCTTTCCAATTAGGTGAACAATTAACTTTAACTATGGTAGCACATCAAGATGATTTAAATTGTTACAATTGTCAATCTGAATTTCAGAATACAATTGAAAATGATTACATATGATACGAGAAATAGAGAGAGAGAGAGAGAGAGAAACGATTGACTTAATTGCACTTTGTGTCTAAACTAAAATCATCAGAGAAATTCACTAATTGATCAACTAATCAAAGATATTAGTTGATTATCACTGAATATCATGAAATTATCTCAAGGATTTTAACCCTAACATTAAGAATCAAGAATAAACTCTGAAAAAGGTGATTGAGTAAATGCTTATCAGGGCAATTCTGTGAATCTTTTTTCTTCCTTTCATCATCATCTTCATCTTCTTCTTCATCATTATCATCATCATCATCTGTCTTTCTCACCCCACCGCCCCCTTACCTCCTTTACAACCAGCATTCAGTTTGTTATAATGTTAAATCAATGGGTTCAATAAGCATCAACAACCTCATTGAAAAAAACTCGTCTCCTGATCATTATCACTATTCAGAAATACATATAAAACTAAAGCAACATGATAATCATCACCAATAATGATAATATACTCATGATGAGCACCACCATTGAGGTAACAAAATGAACAAGAAAATGATAACTCCTGAACTGATCATGGTGAAAAAATCATATTCAATCATGAACACATATAAATCATCATTGAACATTGAACATTGTTAAATATGAAAACAAGGAAACATAAAAATCAAGGTTATCATTTTCAACTATTTTCTCACCTTGATCATCACAATCATCATTTCAACAGTAATCATCAATTAACTGACCTTAACTGTCTCCCATAAGGTCATCCAATGGTCTTAATTGTTCACTGACAATCAAATAACAATCGATAATGAGTTTGATCATTGACATTCAAATTGTCATTGATCTGTTAAGCCTCTTCTTCCTCCTCCTCCTCCCTCTCCGCCTCTGCCTCCACACAAACACACACACACACACGTAGGTTCAATAACCAGACTCTAAGTGAGGCCAAGGAAGATGATGATCATCATCATCATGATCATCATGAGAAAGACTTGAGGCTGAAAAGGATGAGAAAGGTGATCAAGATGATGAACAAAATTAACTAAATAAAGTTCAGTTAAAGGGTCAAGCTGAACAACTGAACTTTTTTTTTATATCAATTCAATTCAATTGATATTTGTTGGCACAGTTGATACAATAAACGATTATCATTATGATTTAGTTGATGATAATCAATGTGTTAATACGGGTTACCAATAGTAATTAACGTTTAGAGAAAAAATTAATTACATGATTAACACAAGAATTAACTGACTTTCTCGCTCTCTCCATCAATGGATTAACTTTGATTAGTAATTGGAGATTTAAATGATTAAATGATTTAGTTTGTTTCTTTTTCTTTCTTGTAACTGATCATTTAAATTAATCACTAATTGTTGATTGTTCAATTTTTTGGTTTACTATTGCTCAGTGTTAATTGTTTACTTGTCCCAATGTTTGATTGAGGAGATGATGTTAATCATCATGATACAGTGTCAATTATAATTAACACAGTTAAATATGACATTGTAATTAGATTTAGGTTAATTGTTTGAGCTTTTTTTTTACAATTATTGATTAACTAAAAACAAATTATAATGACAAGATAATTTAAATTATTGGAAACAATTAACATTCATTCATCACAATTTGTTTTTCATTTGTTTTTCCTCATGACATAATCAATGATTCATCATGATAATCAGTTAATTAACAAGGAAATTACATGTTAATCACTCAGAGACTAATTGTTGGTCCAACAATTAACCACAATGAAACATTTTGATACCAATATGTTTGCAATCAAATCTAATTTTGAACATAATCATTTACGGACTTTAATTTTGTCCACGTTAATTGTTTTCTTTACTTTATTGTGCTCATTTTTATTAATGTTGATGATAATCAACATTTACCATCATTATCAGTACACAAATGATTTAAGTTACAATCATGATCGTCATCAACAATGGTATCATCACAATCAAGATGAAATTAAAACTAATTCAATTGATGGAGACCCAATTGATCAACAATCAACAGAAACATCAACACCTTTATCATTAATTACAACTCTATCATCAATTTCATCATCTTCATCATCATCACCGTCATCTGATTTAATTACCGATAAACATCAAGGTTAGTTAATTGTAAAAATAGTTTTAATTAATTTAATTCATCTCTCTCTCTCTCCAATACTAATCTGATTAGTATTGGAGGGATGATGATTATAAAACTAAATTATCAATCTAATTAATGATAAATACAAAAGTAATTGTTTATATGATTAATTAATTTTCTCTTTCTCATTGTGATTTAATTTAATTAACAGGATTAATGAACAATCAAGGAGTTGAATCTTATGTTCAAAGTGTTTTAGATTCAACATTCAAAGCAACCCAAGAGTATCTTAATCAACGGAAACAGAATCCAATCAATTGATTAACAACAACAATTAACATCAATGAAAAAGATTAAAATTGTACGAGAAAAGTAATTGTCAAGGAAATAAATCATTTCATTAATTGTCTCAACATTTTATAATCAACAATTTAAATCAAATCAAAAATCATATGAAAGAGCTTAATTAGTGTTAGATTATTATTCTCGGGTAATAATATTAACATTGATTGTTGATTACCTTCAACAATTAACAGTTTTTTACATCTGAAGGGCATCATGATGTAAATAAAGCAATATAATCACTTTTTTTAATGATGATTAAAAAAATTGATCAACTAATTAACAGTTAATTTGCTGAATTAAAAATGGATTGAAAAAATTGGCAAGAAAAAAAAAGTAATTTACTAATTGTTGTACTATTGAAAGCTAATCAAATTACAATCAAAATGAATGATAATAAGGAAATCAGGCTAATTATTAATCATTAATCACTTGCAAGGTAACAAAGAAAGATGGTTAACTAAAGTGATTAACAATTAAACATTAATTGTGATTCTAAATAAATGAACCAAGAAAAATCAAAATTAAGATAATTAGAAATCATTAGATTGGATTAAATGACTTAATTATAAAATCAAAGGAAACGGATTGAAACAATTAGTTAGTGATTAATACGAAATGGTAACAGCAAGAAAAAAACATTGCTCTAATTAGAAACAATCAAGTATATAAATCTTGAAACACAACAATTAACTCAAATAATTAACTGATTAAAACTAATACACAGAGAGAGACACATACAAAACAATAAGGTGATAACAATAACAATCAAAGGTAATAGATATGAGAAAGACAATTAAATAAATGATGATGATTAATGATTAACGATGATAACCTAGATAATATGATTAAAAACATACGAATTAAAGTTAATTGTAATTAGATTAAAATAGCCAATAGTGAAAAGGTTAATGATAAAGAAAAATAAACGTAAACAATTAAATTGTTGAAAATAATCGCGAATCCAAATACAAACATACACTAAATCTAATCAACAATCAGGTCAGAATATAAATAAATTGTAATCGATTAAATCGATTACAATATTAAAAGTTAATCATGATGATGAGGATGATCAACATGATGAGAAAGAAGATGATGATTATCATCCAATGAGGAAACTTTTCATGGGGACTCGAAATTAGGTTGAGATGATGTTTTGTTTATATCTGTGATTCTGGTTATTTATTTATCTTTGGGTTAATAATTTGGGTCTTTTTTTGGGTTAACACCATTTTCTGGTTCCTATTTTGTTTTCCTTGTAACAATAGAGATCAAGACTTAATATTTTCGGGAGTAGGTCAGGTCAGGTTAGGTTAGGTTAGGAGTTAGAAAGGACTAGATTTATGGAAGGCCAAATCTGTGGGCATCTACTTTAGTGTAACCTGGAAAAACCTATGGAGATATTTGTAAGTATCAGAGAGAGAGAGAGACCTTGGAGTTTAGGGTCAAAGGTAAGAAAGAAAAGAAAAGAAATCCAAGTTTACTTTAAGGTTTTTCTCTGTCTGTCTCTCTTTCTTTCTTTCTCGAAAATGATGATAAGGATGATAAATAATGAAAAGGAAAAGTTCTAATTATAATAATGATGAAAAGACCTCGAAAAAAACTATTATATCATTTGAGATTTTTTCTTTCTTTCGGTGACCTGATTCCCTCTTCTATGGGTCCTACTTTAATTTAGGGTGAGTCCTAATGCTTTTTCTTGATTGTTGTTGGTTAGTTTATCTCTTAATTGTTTGAATGTTTATTGATTGTGTTTCTACACTCTCATTGAATTGGATGATCATATTGTCAATATTAATTAGGTGATTGTTGGTAAGTGTTGATGATTAGATTTGATTTTGTATGATCAACACATGTTAATGTTTACATTGTTTTTATTTTTAAACTAAATGATCAATGATAATGATTGTTAATTCACAATTGGATTAACAAACTAATAATTAAATTAAAGTTGTAGTTTTTTTTTCAACTTATATCTAAATGTTCAAGTTTGATTGTTGATTAAGTTGCTTGTCAAATGATTAACTTTGAACACAACCTGATTAATTCAGTTCAACTTTAAGAAGTAAAAAATATACTAAACAGTAATAGAATTGATTAGACTTTGAAACAATTAAACCTAAATCAAGGTTAGATTTAATTTCTTGTTAACCTTTTGTTTAGAGAGAGAGAGAGAGAGAGAGAGTTGAAAAAGTAACAACAATCAACGTAATTGAGAATTAAAAGAGACACAATAAGTTAATCATCGTAAAGAACCAAAATATTAGAAACCGTCAAAACCTTCAATTAAGATTAACTATCACAATCTATTATAAATCTAATCGTCTCTTTGTCTAAAATACAATATTTGGGTGGTTAAGTGTAACTGTTAACAAGAATTAACAAACACAACAGCAAATTAAGTGCGTTGATAAATTTATCAATGATTTTTAATAGATCATAGGAAGAGAGAGAGAGAGATGAATTAAGAGATGAATGTTGACAATTATGATTTGTTTTAACTAAACAAAGTGTTATTATTTAGAGATTGTATAGTTAAGGTTGGAAAATTTTTTAATGAGTCTTACAATTGTAGTTAGTTGATTGTAATAGATTAACCGTAGGTTGATATATATTAAGATTGCTTGATCCGTTTTCTAGGTGGACCAATTGGAGGTATTTGTTGAGTTGCAAGAGCTCTGAATGCTTCTGCTATCAAATGAGGTTGGTTGGTTATCATGGTTTTCCATCCTTGAGTTTCCATAACATCAGTGGCATGTCTGAAATTTTGTGCATTTAAGTAAATTATTAATAAGAATAAAATTAAATTGTAGAAAGAGAAACAATAATAAAAACATTCAACTCATCACATAAATAACAAACACATCATATGGTTTTGAACATAATTGATCAATAACAGAATATGATAATGTTGTTTGTGGATGAAAGAGAAATGTCATTAAATTGTTTAATGGTTAAGATGGAGATGATGATAATGATGATGATGATGAGAGTAATGGTCAACATACGTGTTTATGTATTCTATGGCATGAGCTTTAAGTTGGCTTGCACTGTGCATATCAGCTAATATAAGAACTTCGGCAGCCGTTTCGACAGATAAATTGGAACATAAAGCTTCTTCACACATTACTTTCAATCTTTCGAGATCGTACTGTAAGAGAAAAGAAAAGAGGATACAAATTTCATTAGAATCATTATAATAGTATAGAAATGGAAGAGAAGAAAAAAACAAAGACTATTAGGAATCTGACCTGTCCCTCTCTACCTTTTCCTTTTTTCCCCTTCTTTTTTCCACCATGAGTCAGTCAGTCTCAGATTATTTTTCTTTCTTTTTCTTTTTTTTCTCTCTCTTTATTTCTATTTATTCTTCCCTCTCACCCTCTCTTTTTCCCTTTCTTTACAAATCTATCGCCTTGATGCAGTTCTATGAAGTTGATAATGATGATGATGATGACGATGATGACCTCTTTTACACGCACTTATTCAAACCCCCCTGAAGGCTCACTCGGCCTTCCTACTTCATTCAACTCGGTTCCCTTGAAACTTGGTTATCCCCCCTGTCCTTCTCACTCAACCTTCCTTCCTTCCTCCCTTTCTCTCTCTCTTTCATTTCTACTTTTTGCTCTCTTTTCAAGCATTTTCCCCCTTCTCTTTCTCTCTTTCTTCAATCTCTCTCTCTCGCTCTTTCTTTCTATCTTCTTGTTCTCTTTGAGTGTTCATTGCTTGTGATAACCTTTCCACATGAGGCAACTTCAAGGGTAGGTATGACGATTACCTGACAATGAATTTAGACCGTCAAATATTAAAACAGGTAATGAGAAGAGCAGAAAAAAGAAGAGGTAAGAGAATAAAAAAGGATGATGATGCTCGGTAAATTGCTGATGATGATGAAAGAGAAAGAGAGAGTAATAGGGGGAGTAGTAGTAGTAAGTAATGGAGAAGAAAAGTGTATGTAGATAATAGGCTGAGTTGAAGAACGGGATAGTTAGGAAAAAAGGGATTGGGTGTAAGATGAATTTTGAGGAATACCTTGTCCGCTGCAGCTAGAAGGTCATCTGCCATCTTTTCCAGATTGGTTGATTTACCGGTGTAAATGAATTTCAACATTTCTCCTAATACTTCTTGATCCATATCGGTTATTTCGACCCGGTTTTGTTTGCTTTCCTCTAAATTATGTTGGAACATGGCCTCAAAAACGGGTGACCTTGCTGCTAGAATAGCTTTATGGGCAAGAAATTCTTGACCTCTAACACTTAAAGTAACATCACTAAATCGATGGTTTTCAAATAATTTGCCAAGATCATCGGATAATCGGCATTCAGGGACTTTGAACTGAATTGAGTTGTTTTGTCCAGCTATGTTAACAGAATCAGCTACGACGCTTACCTAGAATTGTCGAAAAAAGAAAAATAGAATCACGAACAAGAGAAGAAAAAAATTGGCAACCAAATTAGAAAAATGAAAAAAGCTTATTAGTTTTTTACACGGGGTTTTCAGAGAAAAGAAAAAGAGAAAGAGACAAAGTTTGGGAGGAAAAGAGAATATGAAAAGGGAAGAAAAAAGAGAAGAAAAAAGAGAAGAAAAAAGAGAAGCCTAAATGGTTTTCTTACTTCACAATATAAAGTTAATTTATCATCTGGTAATAAACCATTGGCTTCGTCAAGTAAAAAGTCACGTCGGATAAATTTTTTGAAACCCCAATCTTTTCCTTGGACGAATCTGTAGGCTCGTTGACTTTCCATGGCTTTGGTTTCTTCTCGTTTAGCATTAAGTATGGAGAACTTGAATTTGGCTCTGACTTCGGATTTGTTGCAAGAGACTAGAAGAAGATACAGAGACAGGTAATCTTTACTTTCCTCATCTAGTCCTTTCGGATTTACTCGTAAACACCATCTAAGTTTATCATTGGCTCCAGCGGAAAATGTTGAACTTTTGAGCACTTCACCCATCTCTTCACGGCAAAAACTAAAATTATTAATGGTCCACATGTAAGAAAATTTGATAACTTTGACTTGAGTATAACACCAGCTTTCGGCTACTGGGGTATTAGCCTCATTTGAGGCTGGTGGTGATGGAGGTCTGGACGCCGCCATACTTGAAGTTATTCAAGATAAATACAATATATATATATTACTATTATTTTTCCAAATAATAATCAATAACCGAACAGGTCACCAACACTCACACACATACAAATAAAAAACACGCACACACATAAAACCAAAAAACGAACACACACTCACAAACCCAAGTGAATTATCCAAAATGAGAATAAAAATGGAAAACCAAATTCTCTATATGAATGTTTTGGTGTAGATATATTTTATATTTATATGAAGATGAATGATGATGATATCGATGTTGGTATATTAGAGTTGAATGTGTGTTGTGTGTATGTGTATTTTGTGTTTAGAGAGATGGAGTGAAGAAGAGAAGAGAAAAAAAAATGGTGATACAATTATTGATACAATAGTTTCTTTTCTTTGTCTTTTATAAATATAAATAAATAAGTTGAACAGAGATTAAGGTGGTTACGGTAAGATGAACAATTTAGTCACAAAATTAATTAATTAAAAAAAGAGAGAAAACCAAATTAACTAATATAAATATAATTTTTCTTCCAAACAAAATTCATAAAAAAAATCGGTGTTGATGTAACAAGAGCACAAAAGAAACACAACTAACATTGATGATGAGAAAAGAGAAAAAATTTAGAAAAAAGAAGAAAATTTTTATTTGAGTCTTGAGGTGATTACATTCAGAGATGCATGTGGCGCATTCTCTTTTGTTAGAATGATATTATTCAGGTGAAGGTGGTATTGGTGTTATTTGAATTTTCGGATGTCGGAGAAACGAGGGATTGGTAGGGTTCAGGGGCATTTCAATAAGGGTTCCTGAGGTGTTCGTTAGTGTACTTGTAAATTTCATTGAGGTGAGTGAGTATTGGTTTTGTTAGATATTTAGATGTTAGGATTTTTCTAGGAAGATTAAAATTTCTTCTTTCGCTGTTGCTAATTAGTTTTCTTGTTTGGTCGAAAATGGGGCAAAAGGATATCCAGTGAATTGGGTCAATGATTGTTTGTCCACATGGGCATTTTTTTGTATAAGTGAATTGAAAGGAGCCAGTGACGAGGTGGGTGAGTTTGTCAATCCTCTTCCTTGAGTTAAGAGGTTTCCAGGTTTTGAGGATGAGGATATTATGATGATTGGCTTGCGATTTCCATGATGTGTTGATGAGATTAAGGGTATTTAGGTCGGCTAATTGGTTGACACCAAACCATGTTTTGTCATTTCGTACGGATGGAAGGAGATGAGGGAAGTCTTTACAAATGGTTTCAATTATGTAGTCGTTTTCATTGTTGAAAAGCTTTCGATAAAAGATTTTTAGACCGTTGCGAAAGATGATGGCCCAGGAAGGGAAGTGGCCTAATAGGGAGTAATGGGTTAAATAATCATAATGAGTTGAAGTTCTTGAATATCTTCTGAAGAGCTGACCAATGGTGGTTTCGATGGTCAATTGCTGGTGAGGTTTCATGATTTCAATTAAGAGGAGGTACGAGAAGCAATTTATCTTTGATTCAATTAGTGAGTTGTTGATTATGTTGATGGCTTTGGGTGGTAAGAGGGTGAGTTTTGTTTGCTTTTTCATTGTCAGGTTGATCTTGTTTTCAACTGATTCGCACATGCTTTTAATATCGGGGTAAATATCTCTACCATAGGCGATCAGAGGAAGGCCAAGAATTTTTAGTCTGTTCGTGTGTTTGAAGGGGAGATGTATTCCTTTTTTGGTGAAATTCGTAACAAATTTACTATGAGTTAGGAGGGCGGATTTTTGGGCCATTATCGATAGGCGGGTGGACTTTAGGGATAGATTAAGATGATCGATCAGGCTTTTGGTTGCTCCTTGTATTAGTTCAGCATTCGATGTACTTCTAGTCGGGAAGACAATGACGATGTCGTCAGCATACGTTGTGACTGTAAAGGAGAGGTGGTCATTTACTTCTATCATTCTCCCATTAGTTTCGATCGGTGGTTTTGGAATGCGGGAAACTGAGAAGTTATTAATGGAGGTATTAACTCCAAGTATGAAGAGGAAGGGACCTAGAATAGAGCCTTGCGGAACACCAAGAAGTGTTTTTGCATAGAATTTTTGCCCATTATGCTCGATTAGTTGATGTCGATCAGATAAGTATGACATTATCATTCTCATGAGAGGTAAGGGGACATTCAATTGGTGGAGGGTATAGAGGATGGGTTCAGGGTGTATTAAATCGAAGGCACTGGAGATATCAAGTGTTAGTATCGCTGGTGTTCCAGCTGAGGTGCTAAAGTTTTTCACCGCTGTTAGGATGGTTGTCAGGGCAGTTGAGGTGGATTTGTGAGGCTGGTAGGCATGTTGTAGATGAAAGAAAGAGGGAGTGATGAAGTTGTTTAGTCTCGTAAGTATTAGGAGCTCAAGGAGTTTGGCTATATGGGTGAGGACAGAGATTGGACGTGGTCTGAGTCCATCGGATTTTGGGATGAAGATAAGGCGTGCGAGTTTAAGAGAAGGTGGGAAGTAGTTAGATGATATTAGGATGGAGAAGATATTATTAAAGATTTGCTTATTGTTGTTGATTAATGTCTTAGTTTGGTGGAGAGAAAGGCCATCAACGCCCGTCGCCGCTTTTTTATTCAACTTCTTGACTTGATTGTCCAGTTCATCATCTTCCAGAGGGAGGATGATTGATGGCATCGGTGGGTAAGCAGATGAGATTTCTTTGCGGTTTACAATCCTTAGTTTTTTAATTGTTTCCTCAAGAGATTCACTGTAGCCTTGTTCTGGTTCAGACTCATACATATACGACCTTTTTAACCTGGACCAAAAAATCCTTGAGTCTTTGCACGGGTCGAAGAGATCACTGATCAGGAGTTTAGTTTCTTTATATCGTTTTGATTTAGTTTCATTTAGTAGATTAAGATGGTTTTGATCTTGCGTTTTTTTAAAGAGTTTCTTGAGGCGGCGAATTTCTTTATCGTACTTTTTTGAGATATTGAGGTGATCGGTGTTTGTCGGTGAAGATGTCGACCAATTATTCGGATCTTTTCTTAGGTTGTGGTTTAACTCCAGGAAGTGCCAGAAAAGGGAGTCGATTTCAGCGAGATTCGAGGTTGGGAGTGTTACGATAAGCTTTTGTAGTTCATTTGTTAGAACATGTTGCTTAAAATATTTTTTAACAGGAGAGGGAGCAGGGGTCCAGTTCGAGTTCATCCTTAGCTCTAATTGTCCATGGTCAATTGTCCTTGGTTCGTATACTTTTTGATTAATAATGGTCGATGGATAAAAGGTTAAGATGTTTGATGAAAGGATGTCGATCCATTGGGGGGTTTGGGCGTTGGAGAGATATGACCAATTTTGAGCAGAGGGTTGATTATGGATGATGATTTTGTGACGAGTTAAAAGTCTGTTGAGGAGTTTGCCTTTCTCCATGTTGCTGCTGTTTGTTTTAAATGACCACGAGGGGTGAGTTGAATTTACATCACCACAAAAAATAATGGGCAAGGAGGAGTTGGAGGTAATTATGTTGTCTATTTTGTTTAGTTTATGGTTGTATTGGTTAGTTGTCAGTGATGGGCTTAAATAAATCGAGAATATTAGGAATTTGTGTTGTTGGAAGCGAATGATACAGGCGGTGATGTCGATGTCGGTGGTGATGACTTTTGAGATGAAGCGAGATGGAGAGATGAGAGCTGCTCTTCCAGACTGGACGATTTTGATGTTGTTGTCGGTTGAGCGAAGGAGCAGAACGGAGAGGTTTGGTTCTTGAAGGAGAATGATGTTGTGAGATTGTGTGAGTTTGTCAATTAGGTTGTTTGTTTTATAATGACTTTGCCGCAATTGTGACTAATTAAATTCATCATAATCGTAGTCAGTGAGACTTATAAGCCTTTGGATAGCTTTTGGTACGATTTACAATCTCGACTCCTTGATTTATGGTTGTGGTTGATCTTTTCATTAGCGAAGCAGAGGAGCAGTTGCCATTATTTTCCGCTGAGCATTCACTTGATGGGTGAGCATCAAAGCATTTGTCACACGATGGTGAATTATTACAGTATTTCGTGTATGGCCAATTTTGTTGCAATTAGAGCATATTTTTATAAAAGTTGTCTCGATAGGTGGTACAAATAGCACCGATGTAGACTTTCTTATTTCGTTCAACAATTTTACGAGCATTTTTGGAGAGTCTGATAATTACTTTTTTCTTGTGTTGGTTGTTGGGTAGGGTTATATCATGAGAGCTTATGATTTCGAGGGTTTCAGTTTCAGGAATCCCATTGCGAGATTTTATGGCCTCTGGACTCTCTAATTGTTCTTGGTCAATTAGTATCGAAATCTGAGGTTTGAGTTTATCAAGTTTCTTTATAGCAGCGGAAGTGGCAATGTCGCTTGTCGTTATCTCGGTGAGCATCTTGTCGCAAAGCTTCGAATCAGTTGAGGTGACTCTAATGCCTTTGGTTGTCTCTGTAATCGAGTCTATTTTTAAGCTTGGATTGTTTTTTATAATGGTGGTGACGGTGGCTTTGATCTTGTTGTTATTAGTGTTGTTGTTGGTTGATTGAATTAAGATGCTGGTGGGTTTGGGTGGTGATGAGGCAACTTTCGCATATGATTGGGTAGTAGAATGATTTTTAATTTGGTCAAGGATAAGTTGGGTAGCATCATTGATGTTGTTGTTTTTGTCTAGGTGTTTAAGGCCATTGCTCATGATGGATTTGAAAAGTGAGAGTCTTGATTTATACTTTTCAAGCTTTGGTTTGCTCAACCATGAGGAGAGATCATTAATGAAATCATCAACTGAGTCGGATAGTTGCTTGTTGACACATGCCGAACTGGGTGACGATTCCAGGTAGTTTACAAGAGTCGCTTCCACGTGGTTGTCATTTTCTTGTAAACCAATGGTTGACCAGCTGACATATGAGAGCGGCAGAGGAATTGGTCCTATTCCGGAAGGGGCCATTTTTTGGGAGTGGGAAGAGCTCAAAACAGGTGTTTGAGGTGGTCAGGAAAACGATGGTAATAAAATAAAAAGTTGATTTTATATTGTTAATTAGTTAATTGGTTGACACCAAACCATGTTTTGTCATTTCGTACGGATGGAAGGAGATGAGGGAAGTCTTTACAAATGGTTTCAATTATGTAGTCGTTTTCATTGTTGAAAAGCTTTCGATAAAAGATTTTTAGACCGTTGCGAAAGATGATGGCCCAGGAAGGAGTTGGAGGTAATTATGTTGTCTATTTTGTTTAGTTTATGGTTGTATTGGTTAGTTGTCAGTGATGGGCTTAAATAAATCGAGAATATTAGGAATTTGTGTTGTTGGAAGCGAATGATACAGGCGGTGATGTCGATGTCGGTGGTGATGACTTTCGAGATGAAGCGAGATGGAGAGATGAGAGCTGCTCTTCCAGACTGGACGATTTTGATGTTGTTGTCGGTTGAGCGAAGGAGCAGAACGGAGAGGTTTGGTTCTTGAAGGAGAATGATGTTGTGAGATTGTGTGAGTTTGTCAATTAGGTTGTTTGTTTTATAATGACTTTGGCCGCAATTGTGACTAATTAAATTCATCATAATCGTAGTCAGTGAGACTTATAAGCCTTTGGATAGCTTTTTGGTACGATTTACAATCTCGACTCCTTGATTTATGGTTGTGGTTGATCTTTTCATTAGCGAAGCAGAGGGAGCAGTTGCCATTATTTTCCGCTGAGCATTCACTTGATGGGTGAGCATCAAAGCATTTGTCACACGATGGTGAATTATTACAGTATTTCGTGGTATGGCCAATTTTGTTGCAATTAGAGCATATTTTTATATAAAAGTTGTCTCGATAGGTGGTACAAATAGCACCGATGTAGACTTTCTTATTTCGTTCAACAATTTTACGAGCATTTTTGGAGAGTCTGATAATTACTTTTTTCTTGTGTTGGTTGTTGGGTAGGGTTATATCATGAGAGCTTATGATTTCGAGGGTTTCAGTTTCAGGAATCCCATTGCGAGATTTTATGGCCTCTGGACTCTCTAATTGTTCTTGGTCAATTAGTATCGAAATCTGAGGTTTGAGTTTATCAAGTTTCTTTATAGCAGCGGAAGTGGCAATGTCGCTTGTCGTTATCTCGGTGAGCATCTTGTCGCAAAGCTTCGAATCAGTTGAGGTGACTCTAATGCCTTTGGTTGTCTCTGTAATCGAGTCTATTTTTAAGCTTGGATTGTTTTTTATAATGGTGGTGACGGTGGCTTTGATCTTGTTGTTATTAGTGTTGTTGTTGGTTGATTGAATTAAGATGCTGGTGGGTTTGGGTGGTGATGAGGCAACTTTCATATGATTGGGTAGTAGAATGATTTTAATTTGGTCAAGGATAAGTTGGGTAGCATCATTGATGTTGTTTTTGTCTAGGTGTTTAAGGCCATTGCTCATGATGGATTTGAAAAGTGAGAGTCTTGATTTATACTTTTCAAGCTTTGGTTTGCTCAACCATGAGGAGAGATCATTAATGAAATCATCAACTGAGTCGGATAGTTGCTTGTTGACACATGCCGAACTGGGTGACGATTCCAGGTAGTTTACAAGAGTCGCTTCCACGTGGTTGTCATTTTCTTGTAAACCAATGGTTGACCAGCTGACATATGAGCGGCAGAGGGTGGTCCTATTCGGAAGGGCCATTTTTGGGAGTGGGAAGAGCTCAAAACAGGTGTTTGAGGTGGTCAGGAAAACGATGGTAATAAAATAAAAAGTTGATTTTATATTGTTAATTAGTTAATTGGTGATTTAATTAGGAAGGATAAGGTTGACGTGCACGGAAGAAAAAAAAGAAAACCAGTGTCGCCATCTATGTTCTTTTCTACAAGTTACCTTATTCTCTTTTTTGAAATTTTCTCTTTTCTCTCATTGTTTGTATTTCTCTCTTAATGGAACAGTTTAAATTTAATTATTTCTCTTCTCTAAACTAACTAAATATTGACTAATTTACGATTAACTAGTTTAATTAATATTCTGTCTTCTGGTTCTCCGTATTCTTTTCTTTCTATTGTGATTAATTATGTTATAAATTCGTTTCAAACTGATTATATTGATCATCTCAAGTTCTACCAGTTATAACTAGTTAACAATCCCTTCTTCTTGTTTAAGCACATTGGATTTTGGAAAAACTGTTTTTTCTACTTTTCTTTTTTATGTATAAACACAATTTCAACTGATTTTCTCTTATCCTCTTTCTCTTCTCTCTTTCTACACCTTTGGTTCATTCTCTTTCTTTTCCTTATTCTCCTGTTCTCAATTTTATTGGGAACATTTGGTTAATATTTTAACTAACTAGGCCTAATTCTATTTCATCTGGTTACTTTCATCCATTTCTCTTTCTTTCCTTTTCATTTTCTTTTTCATTTTCATCTTCCTTCCTTCTCATTTTCTTACAATGACTCATATTTCGGCCTCTGATGTGGATAATTGTGTTGTCAAAATTACCGAATCCATTGATATCATTCGTCGGGGATCTGTGGTTGCTGATCAAATGCGAGAGGCTCACATGGTTATTGAGACGATTAACAGTAACACTAATGTTGAATCAACTCTCCAAGTTGCCTACAAATTGATTACCTTTAATGGAGATGAAGCCTTAACCCAATCAGTTAAACATTTTGGTCTTCAATTGGTTGAAAATTGTATCAAATATAAATGGACTGAAATCTCAGATACAACCAAAGCTGAGATAAAAGCAGTTCTTGAAAAGATGATTTATGAGACTCTAATTGGAAAAGATCTCAAATTACTTAAAGAGGGTATATCAAAGTGCGTGGTTGAAGCTATGAAACGAGAATGGCCTGGTAATTGGTCTCATCTGATGACACTCATGTTAGGACATAAACTCAATGATCGAGTTTTATTTATTATCGGTCGTTTAAGTGAAGAACTGGGTATATTTTACTCACCCGCTAATCGAGATAGAAGACGAGATATGACTAATGAGTTGAAGAACAATTATCCAGTTATTCTAACTTATATTGCCGAATGTTTAATCTCTGGTAATAGTGACCTATGTTCGAGTGCACTTCGCACTTTGGCTCCTTTCCTTGAATGGCACACCTTTGATGAGCCTCTTCTCTCTTTTCTCTGTGATCTCTTGGCCGCTGATATTGATCCAAATCGTGATCGTGAACAGCTTCACATCAAAATTCAAACCACTGACTGTCTGTTGACCATTTTATTTCGTAAAGGTTCAAAAAAGGATCGTATCAACATATTAGACCTGTTTACTCCTAAAAATGTTACCTCTATTTTTAAATGTATCGATAGTATATTACCAAGGATTAATGTTAACAATTATCAATTATCCAACGATTATTTTACTCTTGCCAAAAGAGTCTACAGTGTTCTTACCATGATGGGACAAACAGCAATTCAATTACATCCAGTTAAACAACTTCCCATGGAAACCTGGCAAATATATACACAGAAGATGCATTCACTTTTTTACATTGATAATTATATTCTTAACGCTTTTGTCCTACAATTTTGGAGAGATTTGGCCAAAAGCAAGGAACATCAGACCATCATCACGGAGCCTCTTTTAACCAGTTTACTTTCAATTATACCAGAGAAATTATATAAACGACCCTTTGGTGATCCATCAATTCCTATGGAGTTTGATGATGAGGAAGATTATGATGTTTTCTTTATCAAATTTAAAGCTGAACTAACCGACCTTGTACGTTCGTTGACACTTTATCGTGAAGATATTTGTTTCAATTTTGCTTCCAATTTACTGATGGCAACTCAAATTAAAAAGGAAAGTGGACCCGATACAAGTGCCAATTTTAAATGGGAAATTACTGCTCACATAATGGAAGCCGTTTGTAACCGTTTAACTAATGTTCAAGCTTTCTGTCTACAAGGATCTCCTCTTCTCAATATGTTAGTTAAATCGGAAGGAACTGATACCAGTGTTGAAATACTTTCCAGTCAACTATCATGTTTATCTGCACTTACCGTTTTTGTACCTCATCTTTTATCCCAAGAACCCAATTTAATCAGTGCCCTTTTGGAAAAAATGTTTAAACTTGCAGCTTATGAACTTCCAGGAGAAAGTAAAGATAATCGAAGTAAATCTGTTCGTAACCTGAGGCGTTATGCTTGTGCCTTATTCGTTAAATTAACCCGAGTCCATTCTGAAATATTGTTCCCTATTTTTGACCAACTTAAGGCTCATATTCATAAAACTTTTGCCCTTAAACTGGAAGCAAGTCAAACTGAGATATGTACTCTTAATGAAGGTTTAATGATCTTATCCAATTGTTTCACTGATCCTGCTCAACAATCCTTATTCGTTAATGAACTTCTTGAACCTTTAAAATGGTTCCTTGAATGTTACCTTACACCAGCAACTTTCATTTCAACCTTTGGTCTGGATAAGCCAACAGTTGAACATGAAAGCAAAGGTCAAGCTCGAGCTCAACTTATGTATGCCATATCAACCCTACTTGGTTTACTCAAACGAATCAAACGAAAGGAAGTCCTTTACTCACCTGTAATGGCATTTATGAATCCCCTGTGTAGCCTATTATCTAATCTCAATTCTTTATGGAGACAAGAGATGATAATACTTTGCCATACCGAGTATCAGTCAGTTGTTTTCGCTCCAATCAGTGAATCTGACCGATTATCTCTCCTGGAAATTCATAATACCAACAATAATACTAGTCAAGATGAAAGTGAGACTACAAGTTTGTTTAAACATCCTGCTCATCGAATGCAAAATTTTCTATGGACTATTCAGGATTCCTGTTGCTCAGCAATTGGTTGTGCTCATTCGCTGATTAGCCCCGAGCTATACCTAGAATTTAACAACATAACCCTGGCTCTTGATGGTTTTGAAAATCTTCCCCTGATGAAGCTTAAATCATTTATTCGATCTTTTCTCAAACCATTCCTAATCAATTATCCTGTCAACGATTTAAATATCTTGGAGAACAAGTTTTTACCTTTTGTTAAGCAAGTTTTACCTATACTATTTAACCGAATTGATGGAACGTGTAAAATAATTCGAGAAAGAGAATATCAGAAAGGTGAAAGTGAAGTGGAAAATGAATTATTGGAAGAGAAAATTTGTCGAGCTTTGTCAATTGATTTTATTGAACTTCTTAGTGGTCTAATAATTTCATCTAAAGGCGGAGGACGAAAAGCTGATAATCCAATGGAAGAAGATGACTGGGAGATGAGAGAGATGAACGAACAAAACAACAAACCCATTGAACATACAGTTAGCTATATTGGAGATTATCTAATCAAAAACATGCCAAGTATAATTACTCAGATTAGTTTCCAATGTTTAACTTGGAGCGATTCAACTGTCTCATGGAAAGCGGGTGCTCTATGTGAAGTGGTTCTATCCCGTCTAATTGAACATGTTATGGTTCGAAATCCAGCTGATTGTCAATTTCTTTTAGAAAATATTTGTAAATCACTTCGATACTATGGAGAGTATGAACAAAATCGTGGCATATGTTTACAATTGGTGTCGACTATTTATGAAAAGTTAATACTCGTAATGCAATTTGATTCTGTTAAACATTATCTCGTCCAACTATCCGAAGGTAACATGGAAAAATGGAATGAATTTGAAGAGAATTGGATTCGTAAACCACCAATGAGCAAGAATATTCAAAAATCTCGTAGAGAAGCGTTGAAAGATTTACTTGATCCGATTATCGGCAAAAGTTTATCAATCATGGGACGAAAAGAGCAAGCAACCGGAGGAAATCCAGTCACAACAATTAGACGGAAAAAAGCGAGCGATATATTCAACAATGAGACAATCTATTTATATGAATTGTTCATCTAATTTAATCACCATCATCAATTTAAACACACAAACACTCACACATACAAAACCAACGATAGCACATGAATGCAACACATCACAAAACAGGAAAGATGAAAATAAAATCGATTGATTGTCAACATAAATACGACATGGAACCTAAAATGTAAACTAACACCATCTCTCCAACTCCCAGGCCCTTTCTTGACCAATCAGCTGACTGGTCATTTAAGATGAGATAAATTTTTTTCTAATTGAAAATTTTTCACATTGACAACAGAAAGAAACAAAAAGTACTGACCTACATTGATGGAAAGTACTATTAGTTAATCATCTCTGTTTCTGTTATTTAAAAGCCACATTTTGATTGTGAAAAGATGCAAAAGTTAATTAAACTTTATATTCTTAATTGCGAAATTAATTACAATCATTTTATCCCAATTTCCAACAGTAGTAAAGATGATCAACGATTTAGAGATTGTGAAAATATGGAAGAAAATTTTTCTCACCAATTGGTCTTTTTGGTTGTTCGAAATTGTTTCGAGTTGTAATTAAATGAATTAAATCTTAATTGTTGTTTGATTTTTTTTTGTAGGAAAAAAAGAGATGAAGTTAATTGTTTAATTGCTAAGAATTGAATGAGAATTGACTGTTTGACCCTCGTTAATTGTTGGGGAATTCAAAGTCAGTCTACCAACTACAAAATGATCAAAGTAACAATGAAAGTAATTAAAAGGCGAATGATAATTAATTATAATTATATTTCAAGATCGACAACAGTGTTAATATTAAGAAAGACTTGGAAGACAAGGAAAGGTGAGAGAGAGAGAAAGAGATGAGGATGAAGATGATGAAGATGAAGATGATAAGGTTTACAAGGATCGAAATGATTTAAAAAATTTGATGATTTCTTTGTCTAAATCATCACAATTAATTAATTAACATAATAGGAATTGTATATGTATTGTATTTGCTTCCGTCATTGAATTGATACATTAGATTGTGATTAAAATTAATTGATTTGATTAAACACATCTGATTGTTTCCAATGGCCATTGTTGTTGTCCCTTAATTGTTACAATTAACTTGACAGTTTCTCGTCTTGAAATGTTTTTCTGGTTAATCACAAAAGTTTATCATCTTTCAATTTACATTGATTTAAATTATGATAATTAATGGTAAGTGTCAAGTGATTAAAATATTAAATTGTTGTTGTTGTTGTTGAAAAAAAAGATCCACAGTTAATTGTTAATTGTTTACATATATAAAGAAGAAAAAAAAAGTTAATTTAAATTTCTCTCTAATTTGATTTTAGTCTTAATTGTCTCTCATTGTGCTTGATGATTTAATTGTTGTTGATATTGAGATGATGAAGAAATTGATGATCGATGATCAATGATGATGATAATTTGAATCATGAATTTGTTGATGAGAAAAGCGGAAATGTTGATTATGTTGAGAAATTAACAAATTGGATTAAATTTTGATGGATTAACGATCTTGATTGAACATTGATTATCCACAATTTACCATGATCGATATTAATTTAAATCCTTAATTTCTCTCAATTTGTAAAAGGAAATTATTATCCTTACAGATTGATTAGAATCTATTTATATAATTAACCGATTAATTATTAATTAATCGAAAGATAATTTGCTCTTTCACTTATATTTATAATTATATCACTTGGAATTCAATTGATTAACTGATCAAGTTTCCAACGTGATTACCAAACATGACACTTCTTATGAGGATTCATCGCTGTTCCAGCCGGACAATTAAAGCTCTTTGAAAATTCATCAATATTTGACATGGGTCCAATTACTCTGGTTGATTGAAAGAAAATACAATAATTAGATTGTTAATTGTTGACAATTAAGAGAATTAGAAAGAGATTAGTTATTCGTACCTGAATCTTGATGGACTGTGAGATCCTAATGATACTCGAAGACGAAGGACTTCTGGACGATATTTACCACACCAAACCTGATGGAAAATTAATCAATTTCAAGAACAATTAGTAAATTATAGTTGATCAATATTCTTAATTGAAACTTACATTAGCAGCACTAATCCAGAACAATTGGTCAGTTGAATAATTTAAACCAGGTAACGATGGTTCTTTACCATGATCTATAACCCATTTTTGGTAAGCCTGAAAGAATAAATTAGTTAATTGTTGAGTTAATCTCTTTCTCTTAATCTCATTGGATTATCTTTATTCTTACCCTAAAGGCTTCCTTAAGACCTCCATTATCAGCGATGTTTTCACCTTGAGTGTTAATACCATTAACTCTCATTCCATTTTCGGGAAGAGTATAGTTACCATATTGATCGATAATACATTGAGTTCGAGTTTTGAACTTTTGATCGGTAACATGGTCCCACCAGTTCTTGTTGTTTCCGTCTTTATCGAACTGTCGTCCACGATCATCGAAACCGTGAGTAATTTCATGACCAATAACGAATCCAATGGCACCAAAATTGAGGTAGCTAATTGAAAAACGAGAAAGATAATCAGTTAATCAAGTTTAATTTCAATCGCAGATTAAATTGTTTACTTACTTGGGTCGATCTTTACTGAAAAATGAACCTTGAAGTATCCCTGCAGGGAATTCAATACTATTTTCAAGAGCATTATAATAAGCATTGACCACTGCCGCTCGAGCATGTTTGGTCCACTCTCCTTTAAGATTTGGCTTACGAAGTTTATTGAAAGCGAAATCGGTTGACCATTTACGAAGATTTTGAACATTTGTGAAGTAACTTTGTTGCGTTAATGTGAGCTAAACATAGAACAAGAAAAGCAAATTAAATTGATTAGCTAAATACCTCGGAATCAAGCATGATTAACATCAACGATCAGATTAATTGTTTAGCTAATTAAACAACAAATTGACAATAAATTAACATCTCGTTGTCATTGGAAAAGAAACAAAGTTAAACAATTGATGAAACTTTTCACATGAAAACTATCACCATGTTCATGTAATATTTGCTTTATCTTTTGTTTCTCTCTTATGTTAAATTGTCAAAATTGTCAATAAATGTCAATTGATAAACAATTAAACGAATTTAATTACATACATTTGTATACAAATCGCCAACTTTACTGTTGTTTAAAAGCTCATCAGGATAACCAATATACGAAACAATAGCATTTGCCTTATCCCGAGCTCTTTGAGTTGTATTTTCATCCATCCAATCAACTTCATCAAGAATTGTAAGGAACTCTTTGTGAATATAATTAACCATTTCCAGAGCCTGTAGTCAGTCAATAAATTGACAGAATAATAATAATGATAATAATTTAAAAAGAAAAGATGAAATGAAGAAGAAAAAATCAATAACAAATCAAATATTAGCATAAATCAAAAGTTAAATGATTCATGAACATGAAAGACTCAAGACATGAGATTCTCATATTCATTCAATCAATTTCTTTCTTTCTCTTAGATATTTTTTTTCTTCTTCATGATGACAATTAATAAATCATTAACACTAACCATGTATTTACTGCCTTCCTTGAAATGATTTTTAACATATAATGATGATAAAGCAACTCCAAGAGATCCTGTCAAGGATGACATACACTGTTCCCACCGAGGCTCTTCACGATCTTGTCCAGTGATTACTTTGTTATATTCTTGAGCCAATTCCCTCCATCGTTTACCCAAAGTGGTATAACATTGAAGTACAATCCTCCACATCATGTAGTTAGCAATGATTCTGATTAAAATAGAGTAACAATCAACAATTAACAACAACAATTAGCAAAGAAAAATCCGAGTCCAATTCATCTGATCAATCATATTGATATTGGAAATGTTGTTAATTGTTTTGTCGCATTTTCAGTTTCACCTTTTCCAGTTTCAGGTTAATCAATTGGCTGATTATTTAAAAAACAATCAGTTTCTATCGTTAATTGATTGATTAAACTATTTGTATAGACTACTGATTGACCCAATAAATGATTAAACCGATCAAGTAATTAAGTTAATCAATAATAGTGAACTTGAATTATGAAAACAATGGTTAGGTCACAATTAGCACAATATTTGTGTATATATATTTTATATTTGTATGTATGGTTGTAATTAGTTAATTGTTAAATGAAGCTAAACATGATAAGTTAATCATTTTAACTGTTTAACAAGAGTTGATAATAATAAAGATTAAGATTAACCTTCTAATTGTTAATTATTAAGTGACAATTATTTGATCACTTCACGTATCAAATATAATCAAATTCATCAAGAGTAGAGAGAGAGAGAGAGAAAAAAAATTAATTGTCACCATTAACAATTAATCGTTAATAAACTTGGTTAATTTTTTAACCTGTTCTGTTCAATTGAAATTGTAATGATTAACTTGATCACTGTCTCTCTTTTAAACTAAATTATCATTAACATGACAGCAACAATTGGAAACAAATGATCACAATTATCAACAATCAAAAGGTAAGAAACTGGAATAGGTTAATAGTGAATACGAAATGTAAGCTGAAAAAAAATGAGCGAGGAAAATGAAAGTCATCAAGTTTCAAGAATTCTTGACTCAATAATGATCCTTAGATGATGGATAATGATGATGATGATGATGACGATAAACATGATGATATAAGTTTCAAGATGAATACTCACCTTCCATCAGTTTCGATTAGTAGTTTGTCCAATTTTCTGAGAAATGTTGGAACGTTAACCAATACAAGTTCATTTGGAGGGATTGGATCATTGAGAAGGTGATTAAAGAATCGAGACCAATTTATCTGAATTAAATACAATTAAGAGTAAAACATGATTAGTACAATAAGGTACGAAAAATAATCGACGAAAAGGAGAGAGAGAAAAAGGTTAAAGGTGAATCACGGAAAAGGTTAGTAGACAAGATGAAGAAAAGGATGAGCGATAGAAAGTAAAAGGTAACAATTGATTAGGACATTTGATGATTCGAGGGAAAAGTTTTTCATTAAATCGTCATCATCATTTTAAGGTGAATTAGAGATGAAAAACTGATTCGATAACAAAAGATAATGTTGTTCAATTGTTGATCTGTTGATTTAATCTCATTTTGTTGATGATTGTCAAAGATTAATCACCAACAATCAACTTCCATCATGATTATGGTGATACATTTGTACTTACATTTGGAGATATTGATTCAATTTCTGTGACTGTCATTAAATTATATAGTAAACTGATGTTTCGTCGATCCTCTCGAGGAATTGAAAACTATTCATGGAAAAGGAAACGAAAAATTTAATTGTGATTAACTTGTTTGCACCCAAATTAATTGTTTTCATGAAAAACACTTATAAACAAAGTGCAATTATCGTTTTTATCAATAGTTTCTCATATAATATATAAATTGTGATATTTTATCCAATTGAAATTCATTCAATTAACTTGTTAGATAATAAGACAATTGATCAATTGATCAATTGAGTGAATATCATGAGTTTATGAATGAAATTCATCTGATAAAAAAAAGAGAGTAACAAGTTAATTGTTGTGTAGCTTACGTTTGCTAAAATCGTCTCGAATGCAAGAGCTTCGAGCATGTCCTTTTCGGCCTTTTGTCGATCAGCACCCAACATGACAGCCGATTCAACCATTAATTTATAATAACCTTGGACAGCGGAATCGTTGAGACCACGAAGGAGATAACTACGATCGGGCATTCCAAGAGTAGCTTGATCCAACTAGATGAACATCGAGAAGCGGAAAATTACAAATCGAATTAGTAAATTTGGTCTTTTGTTTGTTGGTTCTAAATGTTCAATGATAGCATTTTATTATTATATGTAAGCCTAGTAACTCACATCGATGACATGTCGAGTATTATTACGATAATCAGTGTTGACTGAAAGATCCATTAAAATATCATGACTGAAACCTGATTTTCTGAACTTAATCAGAGTATCGAGCCAATTAAAAGATGATGAGTTCCAGTTTCCTTGTTCTAGAACCGGCCAACCACCAAGAGATTTCAAAGTTTCAAGAACAGGTTCATTACCGACTCGTTCAATTTCAGCTAAATTGATGATGAAAAGATGAATGATAACCATGAAACGAATAAGATTGAGAGAGAAAAGAATAAAAAATTAGCAATTCCATCGACTTTTCCATGATGATCAATATTAAAACAATCACAAGATAAAAGGTAAATATCACAATCAATTGATTGAGAAAAGTTAATCAACCATAGAGTGTTAAATATTAACAATGGTTAACCATTGATTAGATTTGGTGATGAAAAAATTTTCTTCACACATTTCACTTAACCTTAACTAGACTTTCAATTGGCTAATTAACGCTTACCTAAATTGTGATTAATCAGTTAATTACTTACTTAAATTCATACATGACTTGTACATGCTTCGTAACATGGTGTAGAAACGAGCCTCGTTTGGTTCAGCTTCACTTTCAACCAGAACTGTTGGAAAAGAAAACAGATTAATCGTTAATCCATAATACTGATGCAAAAAAAAGCGAGAGAGAGCGAAGGGATTTAATTGTTTTCCAATGATGATTATCTTACCTCGTAGTTTATTGTTCAAATCATCCTGAATTGCTGAGAAAACGGAAACGGAAGTTCTGTCCTCGGAGATGGTGTGACGTTCAAGCCAACCACCACAAGCAAATTTGTAAAAATCATCACAAGGATTAATATTGTTATCAACATTTCTAATTATATCAGCGGCTTAAAGGTAGAGATTTAAAATGGAAAAAGTAAATTAATGATAAAATAAACGATTAACATAAATACAATCAGCTGTGAATGAATGTTGACCAATAGACGAAATTGAATGGACATAATGATTATATGAAAAGGGATAATCCCTAACCAATTATGTCAACATACTGAGAGAGAGAGAGAGATTAACTTACCTGCAGCAACACAACCTTTCGTTAAGCAAACAGTTTGTTGTGATTGTGATTCTTCAATTGAATTAAAAACGTGATGATTATCTTCAGCTCCGATTAATTTATCCGCGGTTGCACTATTACCAAGGCCATGAACTGAGGAGATTAAGATTAACAGGTAACAAGAAATGAAGAAAAAAAAATGATATGAGAAAATATGAGAAAAAATGATCGATAAAAGAAAATCAAGTTATTCTAATGGATTCGAGCATCATCATCATCATCATTATCTTTACTTCAGTTACGGTTGATTGCTGATTAATTGCTAATTAGATAATCATTTCATTTCCCAGCAAAAGAACGAGTTGATTAATGGTTAATTGTTGTTTTCATTATCCTCGATTAACCTTAGTGGTCAAGCTAAAGGTGAATTGTAATTTGTTGGTTCATCATTTGAAAGGAAAAGGTAACAACATGGTGATGATTGAATCCAATTGGGAAAATGTTGATCAACTGATTGTTGGCAACTTTACGTATGGAAAATTACTTGATGATTTATTAATTTAATCTGTTGATAATTAATTTTCTTAGATGAATAATTAACACACAATCGAGTGTAAGTAAAATTCAATCATCACCACAGGGCTGTTGAAATTTGAGATTCAATAACAATCAATTTCTTTGTGATTAACTGTTGATAATTAACCAGTTTCTTCACACAATTAACACAGTGGAGAGAGAAAAAGTAAAAAATGAATCTCAGGTAAACACCATAGGGGAAAATGACAGGTAAAAGATAATTATAATCGCCAGTGATGTGTGAGAATCAATGGAAACAACAATTAACGATGGTAAGTGAATTAATAACACAAGAGACACAAAACCAAGATGATTGGAGAGGAAAAAAGTTAATTAAAGATTATTAAACCATGTAAGAGATGAAGATGATGACGATGTCGATGGCGATGATTAAATTGATGGATCAATTCACAATAATCACAGGTAAGATTTAGGATTAAGGTAGAAAATTACTCACCTAAGTTAACGTTATATTGATAGGCGACAAAAGCCAATGCGATAGATAAAAAGAGACACATGACTAGCGAGACAATTGCGACAGTGCATAAGCCCCTTTCCATACGAGTCCGACGATTCCACCAGGGAGGATTTCTATTTATAGTGAGAGAGAGAGAAGGCCAACCGAAAAGGAGAAGATGAAGATGAGCAAGGGAGAAGAAGATGAGAGAGAGAGAGAAAAGAAAAAGAAAATACCGTTAGAAATGAATTAACTGGAAAAATAGTGTTGGTGAGTTGCAGAGTTAGAGTGAATGAGAAAGAGAGAGAGAGAGAGAGATGATGATGATGATGATTGACAGAGGAGAGAGAGCAAAAGGAGAGCTACCAAAGTGAGAGATGATGATGAAAGATTTAGAGTGAGAGGGATAAAGGTGAGAGAGAGAAAAAAAATTGTCCGAATCACGGAATCATCAGGAAGCCAACCCGATGATCTTACTAATCATTTTTCATCATCTTTTTTTTATCATCTCTCTTTGAATTAGAAATTAGATTTTCATCCTCATCATATGACTTGTCTTCCGGGCATAGGGATAACCACTAATTAGATACACGCCTCCAAAGTAAATCTTTCCTCATTATCTAATTTATCATCATGGATTAATGGTCAATAAAGATTTAACTTTGTGACCCCAATACAATTGACTATGGACAGGTTTGAACCTTTTATCTGGACGGGTATTGACCCTTACAAGCCTCATCATCCTGATCATCCTGATCATCTTGTTAACCGTTATAAACAATTATATATCTAGATCAGAAATCTGAACAGTAAAAATAAAACAAATCATTTTGTTTCATCTTCATCCTCATTGTCCCAAGATGAAGATGATAACAATTATCACTGAACACGATTATTATTCAAATTTTGCTGCTTAATGAATTTAAATTGTCATCAACTTGGTGTCAACTGAAATGAGAATTGCAATTAAATGCCCTTTAGGCTTAAGGAACAAGGAATGAAAAATTTATTAGATGATAAAATGACGATGGATAAGCCGGATTAGCCATGTGATTGATGGATTATATCCTTAATCCATATGAAATTCATTGGTTTGAACACAAACAAATTAACGGTTAATTTGATTACTTTTAGACTTTTAGTATTTATAATTACACCATTAACTAACTATGGATTAACTTACCCAACTAAATCATAAGAGCATTTTGGTGAACCACAAACAAAGACATTTTCATTTACTGGATTAACACCATTATTAACCTTACAGAGTGACCTAGACTCTTTTATTGGATTAGATAGAGATGATAATCCAATCAAACTGACAGTATCCTTAGGTGATAAAACCATGATGATTATGATGCTTACGATATGAATGAAATGTTAAATAGTCAAATTGTTATCACTCAATTAGAAAACACAATCAGGATAATTTTAGATGGACAGAAACAAATGTGATTTAACCAAAAAAAAACACCAACAATCAACTGATTGATTGTCAATCAGTGGATTTGTATTAACCATTAAAAAAAGAGTTGGTAGACAGTGAATGATGATGATGATGATGATAAAATCAGTAAAACATGACAGTTAAGATAAACAAAACTAAATCAACTGATCAACACAATCAACAATTACCAATCATAATTAACTGTTTGTTTACATATAAAAACAATAATAAACGTGAAAATCAAACAACAACAATGCTAAACTAGTGGTGAGTTAATTGGATACAATTAAGAACAGGAAGGAGAAAAAGGTAAAGTTAATAATCAACAATTAAACCAGTAAAAGTTAAAAGGGGCACACAATCAATGGATCAATTTGATTAACTAATATTTTGTATAACAATTAACTTGCCAATCAAACAAGAAAAAAAAAGTTGTAAATAACAATAATCAACATGTAAAAGTGGTTTAAATCAACAGATTAATCAACAAATTAAACTTATCGCTTGTGATTAAGATTAACTGAGGATAAAGAAAAGGATTTAAACAATTATGATGATTTCGAGGAAGATGAGAGTGACGATGATGATGAGGATGAGGATGAAGATGAAGATGAAGATGAGGATGAGGATGAGGATACTAATGATGATAAATAAAGAGTTAAGGATAAAAATATCTAATGTTAATTGCTAATTGGCTTTGGTCAAAATGATCAGTCCGATTTTGTTTTTGGGTCAATTTGATGACTTTCTCTTATTTCATCATCTTCATCTTCATCTTCATCATCATATTTAATCATCTGTTGAAACAGGAATGATGATAAAGATGAGTAAATAATAGTAAGATTAACTAATCTTCATCTTCATGGATTCAAAAATAATGAATGATAATAAATAACCAAATTAATATAAATCGTCATCGTCGCTGATTTGAAATTAGAATTGATAATTTTACTTCAAACAATTAACTGGACTTTTCTATTAACTGTTAACTCAATTTATTTATTATATTTATTGCATGTTAATTCATCATCTTAATCATTAATTGTGGTAAACAACATCGGAACAATTTATTGGAATCTAATTTTTGATTAGTATTATTATTCATATTCAAATGACAATAAATAGCAAACCGATAATAATAAATGATAATAATAAACTGCGATTGGATTGATGATTATTATCATCAATTGATTGTTAATGATAATGTTGATTATAAATTGTTGTTGATTTATAAAGTAATTTGTTAACCATTGTTATGATCTATTAACTATTTTTTACCCTTTCATTCAGATCCAAATGTTCATGATTAAGATTTGGATTAAGATTAATCATTGATTTCTCATAATCATCTTTCACTCACTCGTCACTTTTTTTTTCAATTCACAATCAACTAAATTAGTTAATTACAATTGTGGTATGTATACTTTTTGATCAAGTTAATTTAGTTATTTTCTCATCTTATCAACAGTTGAACACAATTTACTATCATCAATTGTTAACCACAACAATCAATGTAACTAAATTGTTTGACCACGATTATCATGATCATCATTTTATTATCATCGTAATTGTTGTTATTAAATTTAAATTGTGATTAATCATGAGAATCTATTCTTGGGATCAATTGATTACATGTAAATTCAATGTAACAATTAAGGTTTTTTTTTTACCTTCACATTCAAAGTGATAATTAATTGTAACTGTTTGTTAATTTGATATTTAGCTAATTGTTGAATGTGATGAAATAATTTAGGAAAATTAAGAAATAATCATTGAACAATTAAGAAGAAAAAAGTTAATTTAGTATCAACAACAATACAATCAGTTAATCTAGTTAATCAGATTTAGATCAAATTAATTGATAAACATTCAAGTCACAATGTTTTTGTTAATTAAACAATTAACTTTTGATTACATAATCAAAGATCAGGGAGAAATTAATTAATTAGGTGAATAGTTAATTGTTGAGACTTTAAGTGTAACAATTAAAACACAAATTTAAATTGAATTGATTGCATTCAAGTCAAGTTGATTGGATTGATTTGCAATCGCCATAGTGATTAACTGATCACTGATCAATTTCAACAATTAAGCTTAAATTTCAAGGTAAATCTTTGATTGAAATTAAATTGTTACCATTTTAATCTGACATTATGATGAATTAATTAATGATTAAAATCATCAGAAACGGAAATGAATCAACAAGTAAGGAAATAGATTCACTCTGTAAGTTAATAGTAGAAACTTAAATTTAGATTTGATTAGTTGATTTTCAACAGTTAACTAATCAACAAAGTGTCATCAACAACGTTTAAATTGTTACAGTTAATGATTAGATCTTCATTTTAATTTCCTTTTCACAATTTACTCAGAGAAATGAGATTAAATTGCTATTGATTTTCCTTTGATTCTTTGCAAAAATCAGCTCGATTTTAAATCATAATCAAGATGATTATGATTCCATTAAATTGCAAACAATTTAAGCTTCATCAACCTTATTCAATATACTTAATCTTATTAACTATTGTTCAATGATTCAAGTTAATTGTTATCATAAATATCTCTCTGTAATCAGTGAAAAAATTAAATATCAATCTACTTAATCAGTTAATTAAGAAACGATTAGGAAAACAAAATTATCAACGATCGTTTAATCAAGTGATTGGTTTAATCCAATCAATTGATTGTATGTTTAATTGTCCAGTAGATCCTTTTAAAGGTCAATCATTTGTTAACGGACTTTATTTGTGTTGGCTATTTGTTAATTGTTGTGATGATCATGATAAGTTAATCATCAACAGGTAAGTAATTTAATAGTAAACAGTTAATTCAATGAAGAGATCAATCAATCATGATCATTTTTTGATCGCTTGTCCCAAAGTATCAAAAACTCAGAGCCAAAGATCATTTTGATTAACTAATCAAGTTTAATTGTGAGAAATATTGATTTCATGGATAAACAAATTAAATCAATGATTAAAAGTCAATCAAAGGCTCTTAATTGTAATGTCTTGGAAATTGTTTTATTAATAGTAACCTAATCTCCTGCTTAGTATTAGTCTGGTGATTACAATTGGATTAACACTGTTGGGAATTGATTATTGGGTAAATCGATTAATTGTTTCCAAGAAATCATATTATTGATTTGATTTTTATGAGAAAAACAATAAAAATCTGTAAGATTATCGGATTAACTGGTCAACCCTCAGGGGTAATTACTGAATCTTTATCAATTCCAAGTATCCATTGAGAAACTTTTCAGCAATTAAATATTATTATTATTATCTTTTAATTTAATCTCAATTAAGGTTGATCAAGTCATCTGAACATGAAAAAAACGATCTGATTATAATTCTTGAAATAAATCATCATGAAAACAATTAATTAACGATAATTGTAAGACAATTATGATTATAACAATAATGAGATTTATTGTCATCATCTTGTGAAATAAAAACAAATCACGTTCACTTAATGATAATTAATGGTCACAATTAAGTGTATTAAGTGGTTAGTGGACAATTAAATAGTTAATAACAATTTACTAATCAGACAACTTACCTTGACATTGTTTCATTATTATTTTGAGATTTTAAATCAGCCATTGTTATACAAATGCACATACACAGTGATGAGATTTTTGAGTTGAAAATTAAATTAAATTGGATTCAAACAATTAGTAAATTATGATAACATTAAATTATATATATATATAAAATTAAAGGTCCAAATAAATGTGAATCTATTTGATTGTTGTTAATGATGAAGATCACAGTTATAATGTTAAGTAATTACTTGATTGTTGTTGCTGTTATTTAGTTGATTGTTACAGTTAAGGTCAATCAATAGCGAATGCAATTGAAACCTTAAATGTTGCAGAAATTGTTGTTTCTTGATTAATCTTAAAACAATCACAATCAAGATTTAGTTTAAGACAACAAGTTAATTAACAGCAAGAAGAGAAAAAACAAAACACAATCAAAATGATTTCCTTAATCAAGTAAATTGTATATATAAATAAAATCGTAAATAATAATAGTTACGATTGAAAACTTTTCTTTTCGTCCAAAATAGTTTTGGATTTAATTGTTAAATCAAGAAGACGAATTAAAAAAAACGACGATTCAACAATACAAGATGAAGATAGTGATGATAATGAGGATGGCGATGATGATGATGATGCTGATGAAGATGAAGATGAAGATGGAGAAGAAAAAAAAACTATTCGATTCTTGTGAGAAGAGAAAAAAAGTTTTCTATTCTTTTCAAAGATTCACCTTTACTTTTCCAAAAAGTGAAAAGTTAAACTTTCTTATGCTCATAAGAAACATTTTCATTTCTTAAAAATCTCATCATCATCTTTTTATCATCTTTTTCATCCTCATCTTCTTGTGCTCTCCTCCTCCTCCTCCTCTCTCAACTCTCTTTCTTTTGCTCATCTCTTTTCTTCTTCATCATCATCTCCTCTCACTTTCTCATCATCTTCATCACCATTCAGTAGATATCATCATGTATCCGTTATTATCATCAGAATAACCTGTTCACAGGTAACTGGTAATTCAACAAAAGTGTTGAACTTCAATTAGTAACAATTAATTGATTATAATGAAAGAGTCTATTGTTATCAAGGTGATACAAATGATTTAAATTGTTAACCACTAATTAATAGATTAGCTAATTGATTTAATAGTAATACGATTATAATTGCTGATTAACTTTCAATGATAATGATCAATACACAGAGAGATTCAAGTTGGAGTTAATTATTTTCGTTGCTTAATTTTTTTTTTTTCATTCCTTCTGTTTATTGTTACAATTTAGTTAATTGTTAATATTTTATATTCTAATTGTCAATTGAGAATAGTTTTCTTTTGATACAATTTGTAATTAAGTAATTTTTGTTTCTCATTAGTTTATTAATCATTGTAATCATTATTATTATTATTATTATCGGTTGAGTTGATTAAACTTTTAAGATGAAAATTTTGATTGTTCACTAATTGTTGAGTCAATGAACATGATTAGTTTATTAAACATCATTCAACCTTGACACTCATTTGATTGAACAATTAAACGTTAATCATTTCACTGAGTGTTAAATTGGTTTGATTGGTTACTACTTATTACTTAT